TAACCCGCGAGGTCCCCTCTGCTGTACAGCCGCGGCCAGGAGAGCAGCCACTCCCGAGTTGGAGAGCGGCCCCCCTATCTCTCTGCATATCCTAATCCAGGCGTTGAGGTCCTTGTTCTTATGAGGAGCTATCGCTGCCTTGCACTCCTTTGTACATTGCTCAAAAATCAGCTGCCTTACCAGCGGTCGAGCCACTCCCGGATCAGAAAATATCTTATCGGCAGCATCTTGCATTCGGGCCACAAAGTCAACAAATGGCTCTGTGGTACCCTGAATTATTTTTGAAAGACACAAGGAGGCTGTTCCGGCACCACTTACCTGCTTCCAGGCGCGGAGCCCTACGGCATTGATTTGTTCATAGACAGCGCCGGGGAACTGAGTCTGATCATCAGCGTGCCGACCTTCTCCCATAAGCATTTCCTTGTTCCACCCCCGGTTTCCCCGACTGGCGTTTCTCTCAGCCTGCTCTGCAGAGAACTCTGCGTACCAGGCTCGCCAATCTAGGTAACTACCCGAGGGCAGACACGCCTTTGCCAGCTGAATCCAATCCACGGGGGTGAGGGGCCCAGAAGACAGGTTCTCCAGCATGGCAATGGTGTAAGGCACAGTTGGCCCAAAGGTTGTAACTGCATTTTTAAGTTCTCTAATCTGCTTTATCTCAAAAGGCTCCCATGCATTACGTCCCTGGCCCATAGCTACTTGTACAGGAAATATCCCGTAGGGGCCACTATCTATCCCAGGTGGTGGATGTACCTCATGAGACAAACGTCCCCCCTGCCAAAGCCGCCTGTAAAAATACCGACCCGCCGGCGGCGGAGCATAAGACGGTGGCCATGATTGGGCGGAAAATGGGGGCCCGTGCATCACTTCCTGTTCTGGCGAAGGGGAAGGGAGCTCCCGGGCGGCCGCCTCGCGGCGAGGGATCGCCTCCGGGAACAGCCCCCAAGGTGGGGCGGAAGGCTTCGCCTCCCTCTCACGCCGGGGAGCGCTCAGGAGATCTCTACTCCTCCGCAGACCAAGTTGAGCGGAGCGCAATTCACGGCGCAACGCTGGGAAAGAACCCTGCGACTCCTTATCGAGCGACTTAGGCTCCTGACAGCTGGTCTCTTTGGCCTCCTTGCCATTCAACTTTCCCTCGTCCTCGGAGTCAGACGACTCCGAGGCTAGAGCCCCGTCCTTCTCCTTAGCATCTTTGTTCCCCTTAACGGGCCCCTCTCGGGAGCTCCCTGACTGGGCCTGCTCAAATACCCTGCGTACTTTTGTAAGCTCTTGAGAGCTTTCTCCACAACCACCCTCGCTCTTAGTGTTGCTACCTAGCATGTTTCCCATCTTTTAATATGTTACTCACCGCGTGAGGCCCAAGGAATCCGCCACTTACGCGTGAGCCTGAGGGGAGTCTAAAAGCCCTGTAGGTGCGCGCCACCCAGAGCCCAGGCTTATCCCCAACTCACCTGTCTCGCAGCTCTGTACTGGAGCGTTGTCCGCTGTCACGTCTCGGGGGTGATCAGTCCCCGTGCGGGCCTCCAAATGTCGATGTCGCTCCCGGCCGGCAGGAAGGACACACGACAAAGTCTGGCAGTGGACAACCTTTTCTTTTATTTTCCTTCTCCGTACAGCCTGCCCTGGGATCGCTCCCAGCCGAAGCCTCCTTTGGTCCGCTCCCCGCGGCTCCTTCTGGGCTTCTACTTCCGGGCTTCTTCTTCCCCCCCAGGGGTGGCACCAGTATATATACGGATACAGTGTCCAATCATGTTAAAGTAAGCAAGGCAAGCTGATTGGCTAACATCATCAGTTGCCAGGCAGACTATATTGTTGAGCGGGTTGCTTACGCGGTAAGCAGGAAACTAACGTGCTCGATGGGAGGGGTAATCTACCTCAGGCTTTACTCTTTACTACAGGCCTCACGTCCGCCAAGTGAGGCGACCGGGCTCGGGGCTGCGGCTCCCAACAAGCACCCCTCCTTTCAGGGTTACAGAGATGTTCACTGTCCCTAGATGGCAAGTTTGAGAAAGCTGTTGGGAATAACAGCTCCACAGAGGATCTGGGAAGGGGGAATCCAAAAAGCAGCCAACTCACATGTCCCACAAAGATAAGGTTGAAGACTGCAGACAGATTTCTTACATTTTATTGTACCTAACTGCTGAGGAAAAATAATTTAAATCTTTTTACATTATTCCCAAAAGAATATTTATGTAGTATTTCACAGTTCCCGAAAGAAATCTTATTAAAGATAGAAACTCATTTGCCTGGCGTACATACCAATAATCAGCTGGTGATGTCTTATAAAGGACAAGAAACTAAGGAACACTGCACTGAATTTTCCTTTGTCAGACCCCAGGGACTGCAAAGTGAGGCCTCAAGACTCTTGGGCTGTTTCCTAAGTCCCTCAACTCTATTCCCGTTGAGAAATATGAAAAGTCATTTGGCCAAATTCCAATATTTTTACCTGGTATGTATATAAATATAATCTGTTGGAATTCTCATTAGAAATCCATTTTTACTACCAAGTTAAAAAAAAATTAGTCCTTTACTCTTCTGATCCGTAATGTTCTATGTAATTGCTCTAAACAGTAAGATCTGCTTCCTCTGTCATCACGATGGGATTTGTTATGACCACTACAAATCATTGTACAGTCCATTTTGAAGGATTTTTTTCTCCTCAAAGACATGAAATAGTGACACCTATTCTTCACAACAACTGTCGGGGCAGCCAATGTCATTAGCTCTGTCTGCTGACTTTAAGATCAATCTTAGAAGTCAAATTACAGAAAATACCACAAATGCTCTGAAGCTGTGCGTGTAATTTTGACAAGACCCAGCACCACGCCACTATGACTTGATTTATGTGAAAAGCAATAAGCAGTTAAGTTTTCAGTGAGGCAAACCCACTCTGAGTAAAGTCACGCAGAACCCTTCAGGCTGGAATTAAGAGACCTTAACCTTTGCAATTCTGGCCCCGATCAGGGACTACACAGATTTAGATATTGAAACCTCAATGCCTTAGAGATTCCTAACATTCCAGTACAGTTCAGTACAGAATAGGCATTTCTGAGACTCCCTATTTGACTTCATTTAGCCAACTAAAACATCTTGAATCAACACCCAGTTCTGAGACCAAATTCTTCCTGCCAAAGATGTCTACCAGGGAAGATATATATATAGTTTCCTGTGCAAAAAGAGACTCAAATATCTGGGCTCATTCAGTATTTTAGAGCTGAATTTAAAACACATTTCACAGCATTTTTCTATGACACTGGTGAACACTGAGAACAGGGTATGCTTTAAGGTAACAGCTTCTGTTAAAAACGTTTAAAATATCTTTATACCATTCAGAACTCCCTGCCCCTCCTCAGCAGCATCTTATTTGAAAGGTACAGAAAAGGTGGGATTTGCCATTTATCATCTTGCAAATTGGATTCCTTAGAAGACACTCTAAAGAGAGGGAAGACCGTCTTGCTGCTGCTCTCCTCATGGACAGGTAAAACAGAAATGGCTTCATTTCCATCAATATAATGCCGCTATCCTAACGCACCGACTACTTCAAATTCTATGAGATGTACTTTCCCCCTCCTATAAAAAGGAACATCTGCAAAAATTTGGATAGAAAAAAACTTTTTGCATTTGCAAAGGCACTAAATCCCACTGTCCTAAAATCTTCAGATATCCTCTACGTGCTCCTTGGTCAGGCTCTTCACAAGCTCCATTCGGAATGCTTGCTGTTCCTTTAAGCAGCTGATAAACACCCTAAACAAGGGCGTGTGTGCTAAGGGATGCCAGTAAACAATTACAAGAAAGCGGTAATAGTTTTGTAGTAACTACTGCACCTGCATTATAAATAAGTATAAGGAAGCAAAGGGCAGGAAGAAACATTTTTTAACAGCTCTATTGACTTGCGATGTGTTCATACATATTATTCTGAGTCCATCAGTTAGATAACAAATATCCAATAAACAGGTACGACTACTAGATCTGTTTCTCAGGTAAGAATGATTCTTGACATGTTAGGTTTTAGCCATTAGGCACGCAGATTTAAATAATATTATCACACATCCTAAAGAAGGAGGCTCCAAATGAAACTAAAGTAAAAATCCGTATCGGGGGAGACCAGTGCCGTGCACATTTGCACACGGCGGGATCCAGTCTGTTTCCACACATATGACCATGTTCTCTAAATCAGCTTCATGTCAAGACAGAAACCCAGTCAGTGCCAGCAAACAGACAGGGACCTGTCCGGGGACACCACTGTGTCCCCTCCTTTGCTCCCCTACAACGCCATGCCTTGTCATTTCTTGCCTGTTGCTCTCCCAGGAAAAGCTGTGCAACTGGATCCAAACCTTTCCTGTCATATCCCCTCCTAGTTAAAATGACCTGTCCCAGGGCTTAGGCACTACCTCTGTGACGCCAGCCAGGCAGCATCTCTGCTACACCCCAGTGGCCTCGCTGTCTGTGTCTGCTGAGCATCTGCTGGGTGCCAAGCAGCATTCTAAGTGTGGAGACAGCGGTGAACAAAAGAGTCAAAAATCTACCCTTTGATCTAGTGACGGAATGGAAAAAAAGTAAAAGTTAAACACAAGCAAGGGCGGTCAATGCTGAGGAGGAAAAGCTAGAGGGAGACAGGGAGCTCCGGAGAAGGAGGTGTCAGTGTGCACAGTCAGCGTCATGGGTGTTTCAACAATGTTAAGCAAGTAAAATTATTCCCTAAAAGTTATCCTAAAATAAAAAACGAAGCCTTTTAATGGGAAAGGTGGCTATTTAAATTTGGTGCTTGATTTTACCCTAAATAAGCAAATGAAATCCAACCTATACACAGGAAAGTTAAGGGAGCTTGGAAAACTAGAAACACGTCTTCAAGACAACCAACTGGCTGAATACCAGGTGTAACAGCTTGTGAGATCTTGTCTAGGGACAGGACAGAGCTAGGCAGTTACTCGGGGGAGAAAGGATCAGAGCACAGAGACTCTAGTTATGGAGAAATGGAGAGGGTAAATGACCAGATACCATTCAAACCAAACAGCTTCCCTTTTTATTAATGCTCAGAAAGGAACTTTGAATGACATTTAATAAACAGAACACAGATGAACACATCTAATTTGGGTGTACAGTATGTGAAACATAAGTGCTATATGGCTTTAATAATCCTAATTTAAATATGAAGAGAACAATCGGATCTTCGACTTCAAAAATAAATTCAGTTGGTGTTACTGCTTTTAACTTATAATATTTCATACCCAACAGAAAGAACTATGGTACTCAAGTTCCGTATAGTCATGGATTTCACATTAAGGTATAAATAGAGTTAAGAAACAATTTATATAATAAAATAAGTTTACTTTTTAATTGAAGCAGTCATTTTCTTCAATCAATAAAAATATGCCTTGATTATAAAGCAGCCTCATTTTGCAAATGTACTTCAGGAAAATAAGTTCAGCAGTATTTGAAATACCACACTTTAAAAAAAGGCAACAGAGTGACAGAATTTAGATTTAAAATAGTATATTGCAAAATAGCTTAGCATATATTTCTAAGCACAAAGCAAGCTCCATTCTGAAGTACACTTTTAGTCTTATAAAGCAAACTCTCCCAATATTTCCTTTGTAAAGTCTAAATATTTATAGTAAAAGATAAATCTTTACACACACAGGACGGGAACAGAAACTTCAATACATTTCCACGAGACAAGTGCATGTCATGAAACTGAGTTAACAAATGCTGGAGAAGGGCAGTGACAAGAGTCCTGTCGGGAGCTTTGTCACAGGCTGATATCGGCAGCCCCTGGAAACACAGAACAGCAGCCACGGGAAACAACACCACGTGCATGAGGAACAAACCACACAGCTCTACACGAGTAACTAATGCACCCTTCCCAACACACCTTAATTGGTTCTTTTCTGTTAAATACATTTTTTTTTTTGAAAAATGCTTTTCAAATTCCAGGAGGAAAAGGTAGCAAAAATCTCCACAGATATGAAAGTGCATCATGGCTTGAAAGTGCTACGTGTGTTACAAATATGTCAGATGAAGAAGCTAAATAACTATGTGCAAAAATTCTAACTTGAATGTGTGCCCTTGATCATGGGGCTTTTTGTAGTTCCTAACACAGGTGAGGCAGGAACACAGCAGCAGAACAGTCTCGGATTGCACACTTTGTATAGAGGTAAGGTCACAGAGCCACAAGACAGGAGACATCCGTTCGTAGCTCTGCTAACCCACGAGTGCCTGGCCCTGGTGAAGAGAGACTCCATCTCCCTGTCTGGCCGGGGCCAGAGGCAGAGAACACAGCTTCTGCCGTGTGCCAATGTGTCTTCACATGAGCCATTCCCGAAATGGCACGTGATTTACCAAAAAATACTAAAAACACACCAGTCATGTATCTACTTATGCTCTTAGGGTACCAAATGAAACACACAAAGAAAAAGTTAAAAAACATTTAACAGAAAGACGTCATGCGAACATTACGTTCACCAAAGCTGATTAAAAACCGTACAATTATGGCACTATGAAAAATACATCATGTGCAAAAGGGAAACCCAGTGAGCAAAGTAATGCATCAGTTACTCATCTAATGGCACTTTTTTTTGAGTCCCAGAATTTTCTTGGGAACTAGTTTCAAAAGCTCTAAAAACTTGCTCATTTTGAAATTGTTCTTAAGAGAACCATGATTCCCCAGAGTTCATAACCATGACCTTTTAAAGGCATCTCTCTGAACTGTTACAATGGTTTTTGTGAAGATAACTAGACTGCATTTTCAAATTTTAAATAACGGCTAAATAAATAAACCATTTGCCATGGACTCTATTTTACACTATATATGACAGAGAGAGGCAGAGACAGACAGGGAGGGAGGGAGAGGTGGAGAGCGCACACGACAGCGCCCACTGACTATTTTATGATTTTAACTCAACAGTTTTCATCCACAAGCTTTGACCCGTTGATTCCGCGATAGGTCACTCTGCTGGGTCTGACCAAAAGGCCATGGTTCGGCTTACAGGTGAAATAGCGCTTGTCACCCACCGCGCCGTCGTTTCTCCCCTTGGCACTTCGGAGCTCCAGTCCAAGCCAGATGCCTGATGCGAAGTCCGTGGGGCCCACGTACCTAACGGTGCCCATCTCGTTAGAGCTCATGAGCAGGACCTGAGAGCCCTCGTGCAGCCTCACGCTCCCCTCGAGGCCACCGGCAGTGGTGGCACTGCTCCAGCTGCGACGCAGGACAGTCTTGGACCTGTGCAGGAGGAAGAAAGCAGGGACAGTCCTTAGGTGCGAAGCCACAGAAGGAGTTTTAGCATGTGTGTCCACTGCCGGGGTCAGAGTGACTTCAGTTTACAGAATACTTTATGATCGTAATCGGACCTTTCCAAATTCTAAATAGCAATAACATACTTTAACATTTGAAAAGTTTCTCTTTTGGCTATTTTAATACAACCATGATTTGAATATGAAGTTTAATCTACGACTGATAAATATGCACACATATACTTTCAATAAAACAGCCATCAGAAAAAATACACCTGTTTCTATGTAACCATCAATAGTATAAAATAGCGCAAAGGGAAAAGAAGCTGGCATCGTGGCTGTGATAAGTTACCTTTCGTTGTCCTTTAAATATTTCCTCTATATTAAAACAGTTTTAAAATCTACAACTTTGGAAAACCAGCATCTAGCTGAGGAGATTACAGAGATAGCTGTGAAAACACAGGTCCCGTCCACACGTGGCCTCCAGCGACACAAGGCTTTAGCACCCTCCCTAACTACACTGGCAGGAAACAGCTGCACCGCCCCCGGAGGATTCCTGTCCCTTTCCTCCTGGCAGAACGTTACACCACCTGAAATGGGACAACTCCTGGTGCCCGGACTCACCGCCAAATCAGCGCTGGCCTCAACAAAACAGCTGCTCAGGGCCCAGCCCACCCCGCTCTGCCACCTGGAGGTAGCTGGCCCTGATCCTCACTCAGCAAAAGCCTCACCTCGGCCCTGCAGCTTCCAAAATGGTCACCCAGAAAGCAAAGCGACCTGGAGCTGTCCACCCTGGACCCCACGCCTCCTTTCCTTCCCGAGAAACCCCGTCTTCCCATCACTGCAACGGACAATCAGAACCTCCTGCCCAAACTGGACCCGACCTGGATCCTACATATTTTACTTCTTTTTCTATTTTTCTATATTTTTAAATATAGTACGAAACAACATTTCATTGATTCCTACAACTCACTCCAAAAGGAAAATGACTTTAATTTTAAGGCTAGGAAGCTGAGACTCTGAGGCATTCGGAAACATCACATTAATACGTTATAGGGTTCTAATTAGAAAACAATTTTAAATTCTTATTCACCTTGGGGAATGCATAAATACAACACTAGACAAGGCAATCTGAAATATTCATCATAATCTGTGCAAATCTTTACTGAAGGATAACAGAAAAAGTTAAGAGAAACGTGAGTGTTCTTCAAATTCACTATAAATGGCTACTTTTTGCAACCTGACAAAACTGTAATTTCCACACAATGACAATAAACTATCATTTCCTGAGCACTTAACCTACATCTAACCCCTCACACGGATTGTTTCACTCAGCCTTGCCAATATTAGCAGAGGTCACACCGCCTCCTTTCAACAGAAAGGGAACAGAAGGCTTAAAAAAAAAAAGAGGCAAAGCCAGAGAAAAGCCAGGACCTCACAACCACAATGAGTATCCACCACGAGGAACACAGTGCAAAGCTGTAAGGTGAAATTTCTATGCCATTATGTTACATTGCAAAGTTGCAATAGTTCAATGTGGCTCTGGCAAAGGAGTATACTTCTAAGTGACATAAAAGGTATTTTAGAAAAATTAAAAATATATATAATTATGTGTGATTAAAAAGTAAAACTTCAAAATACAATGAGGAAGGAGCAGATATTGAGTAAAATTAGTTACTCGGAAACACATAAATGATTCTTAAGCACTCACTACAATTCTGAAAATGCAAAAAAAAAATCCAACAAAAGTGTTAAAGCATGAATTTTTTATATAAAGAATGAGGGGGAAATTTGCTGGGTATTTCTCTTATTTCAAGCACAGGCACACACATGCGAGCTGGGCAAGCATGAGGCTCTGAGACAGACACAGGGAAGCACGTTTTAAAAGTCTGCCATCTAGCTGGGCAGAGCGGCATAACCCCAGAACTCTGGGAGGCTGAGGCAGGAGGATAACAAGACGGAGCCCAACTTAGTGCAACTTAATAACCGAGCAAGACCCTGCCTCAGAATAAAAAGGACGAGGCACAACTCAGCACAAGGCTGGATTCAACAAACCTCACAAAAAAAGTTTGACATCTGTTACCTAAGTTACGTTTGTTTTGCTATTGTGGCAAAATATAATAAATGGAGTTTTTAAAGTGCAGTTTTAAAAACCTTGCAGAAGTCACAGTGATAAGAAGCATTAAAGAACACGGGATTATGTTTGTGATGTATTAAGGGGGAAAAGCTCTCTAAAGCACATGTAGAATATGACTCATCTAACTTTGATAAAACATTCAGATACCTGCATTAGAAAAAAGATGGGAAGGGCTGGGAGTGGAAGCACAAAGCTATAATCTCAGCACTGTGGAACAGGATGCAAGTTCAAATCCAACCTGGGGGAACATAACTAGACCCTGTCTCAAAAAAAAATTTTTTTTTAAAGGTAGCCCAGGGTAAAGGTCCTGGATTCAATCTCCAGTACTGCAAAATGAATAAAAATAAAAAGTTAGAAAAGTATGTACCAACATGTTACCAGTGATAATCTTATCTAAGAGACGAGATGATCTTTATCTGCATTTGGTTTCAATGTTTCAAACACTATCTAATCAACTTGCATAAACAAAAAGATCTTATAAAGAAATAATTCAATATCTAAAACACAAATCAATGGTTTGATGAGCACTTAACAGTCTAATAAAATTGATTTTGATTCAAAGTATGTCAAAGCTCAGAAGCTCAGAGAACCACTGAACTCCAAATTACGGCATGTTGGAGTGAATTTATTCACTCAGCATTTACTGGACACCTGGTAAATAGCAGACATGGTGCTAAGCTCTAGAAATTTGTAAAAATCAATAAAATGTGACAAATTAAGAAAGACTGTGTAAGGTACAGAATGTGGCCAGAGCGTGTGCGAGAGAGGAAGAAATCTCTACGGAAGGCACATCCGTGGGGAAGTGACTGTCGGCTAACCAGAGAATCAGGCAGACAGAAAAGGGACAGCACGCAGCAGCATGGGAGCAAAACACAGGTGCCACTGCTTATCTTACTTTTTTCTGGAAAGCAGAGTTTACAGAATGGCCGTCCCTTGGGAGGCTGTCCCTGTGAGCTAAGGCAGGAAACACAGGCACTAACCAGGCGGGCTGCGTATGCTGTGCCTCGCGTCTCCACCAGGGTGTAGAATGCAGGCAGAAAACACAAGCACATGCCAGGAATAGTGGAACCTTGGCAGTGGGACTTCAGGTGTTCTGCCTGCACACCCCAGCCTGAGCTGACCCTGGTGCACAGGCTGGATTCCACCCACAGCCCTCAATGCCAGCTTGATTAATTCAGCAGTTTCAAATCAATTCACCCACTCAATAAAAACACAAAATGCAAAATCCTCCAACTTTTATTAAGAACACTAACCTCTTAGAAGAGAAATATATGCACGTATTGTTCTTAGTCACTTGCGACATTTTTAACTGAGCTTTCAAAGGAAGAATTCAGCACACTGATCACACCTTCCTCTTACGTGTTAAAATTTTACCGAGCAATGAGCAAGATAAAAATTCCACTTCTCTTCTCTCACAGAATCTCATCATATTCATCTTGAAAGGCGTTTTTCTAAATCTTCTCAATACTCACTTGGCAAAAGCATTTCTCCTGTTAATCTCTTTTTGGGAAGAAGCAGAAGTTGTGCTAAAACTTCTCCTAAAACCTAAATAGGAAAGTTAAGGTTAGAAGAGGAAACAATAAATGGCAGGTTTTCAGTTCTGATTGAAAGTTCTCTTTTATCGTCTGGTCTGCAAATGTTCTATGATACCAAAGGTTTCTTTGGACAAAGAAGGCAAGTACATATACGGAACATAACTGCACTTTAGATTTCTTGACAGATTTTTATTTTTGCTTTGCTGATCAAGCTTTGTTCATACAGGAATAAGTTAACATTATGGTACTATCTCTGGGGCTTTATGATTCAGTGAAAATATAATAAAACTGAATTATATATTGACAAAGCTGATTCCATTTATTATAATGCAAATCTTATACTCTTGATAATCGTATGAAAAAAGGCTAAAACAGTTTTTAAAACATTATCATTAAAGGTATCCTGTTTATAAAGCATTAACAATGAACTTCAGAACCCATGACTGTTACCATGACCATAAAAAGAGTTTTTAAAAAAACTTCCCAGAAGACAGACTTTTAAAGAGAAATAGGTAGATGTGTAGAAAGAACCTCTCGTGCTATCCCGTATGATGGGATTTCTACCCCTGGAAACGTGAACCCTGCCTGCCTGGCTGCACAGGAAGCAGCAAGCCCTGGCCCTGCAGGGCTCTTCCAGAAGACTCCAGATGAAAGGGGGGCATGCTCAAGGGATTCGTCATGAGAAACAAGGAGACACAGTTTCAATGAAGAGAAAGGACAGTGATTTGTGTTAACTTTCATGCTCGGCAGGAAGATAAAATTTCCTCTCATAATTTGTGACCATGAGTTAAATTCTTGTTATTTGTGTAATATAAAAAATTGTAGAGACTATAAATTGCAGTACTCTTGGGTAGGCAGTGCTTCCATGTGACCAGCAGAAGTAAACATAATCTCTGGAGACATCAACACAGGCCTCAGCTATGAAATTCTGGGTAAGATAAGCATCTCACAATAATGCATGATAAAAATCACAAGGAAAGAAAATGCCATGCGTTAGGCTTCACAGAAACAGATGGCAGATTCAGACTCCCAAAAACTTAAGATACTGAATGACTTCATACAAAATAAAAGATTTAAAGTATTACAAGTTATAAAAGAAGAACTTGGAAATATGGACAAATAAGTGGTGGTTAGTAGCAAGCAGATTTGCAAAGAGAAAAACACAAGACGTTTACAGTTAATAAGCCTGTGGCTGGATTAAGCAGCAGAATCAACACAGCTGAAGAGACCATCAGAAACACACAGAAGGCTAACTCTGAAGACATCAAAAGGCAAGTTGTGAAACATATGAAAGAGGCCAGGGAAAGAAAATACGAAATAACACACACCCAGAGGCTCAAAAGGAGACGACACAGAGAAGGGAGGAGAAACAGTTGAAGTGTAATGGGTAAGAATTTTACACAATTAATCAAACATGTCAATTGTTAGGATCCAGAAAGACACCTGATGCCAAACAAGATAAACAAAAAGAAATCGCCATCCAGAAACACGGGTAAGACTATAACTCAAAGGAAAATAGCCAAAATATTTTAAAAATAAAATCACCACAACAACTGAGATTAAGCAGACTCACAGTTTTGACAGAAGTCAGAAAACTGGAGAATGATACATGATACCAATGTTCAGGAAGACAACACTTTTCAACCTAAAATTTTAAACCCAGGAAAACCATCACTGGAAAAGGTAAACAAAAACTGAGAGCTTGCGCATGAGGTAAAACAAACCGATCCAAGTAGAAATTGTGGGAATTAATATATTACTAAATATGTGATTACAGTGTAGATCTAAGATGCTCCCCAAAAGTCTCCTGTTCAGAGTGGAGTTTGTGGAAGGTGATGGAATCTGGGGGTGTTACACTTATCAGTATTATCAACCTCAGTTCATAGCTGAATGTTGGAGGTGGGTCACTGTGGGTGAGACCTAAAAAGGTGTTTTCTTCTTCTGGATCCTTCTCCCTACCCCTCCCTTCCCCTCCCTTCCCCTCCCTTTTCCTCCTCTTCTCCTCCTTCTCTCTCTCCCTCCCTCCCTCTCTCTCTCTCTCTCTCTCTCTCTCTCTCTCTCTCTCTCTGTCCCTGTGCTTCCTAAGTACCATGGGTTGAACAGCTTCTTCTACCACATTCTTCTACCATAATGTTTCTGCTTGGAGCCAGCTAACCATGCACTGAATCCCCTGAACCATGAGCCAACTTAGACCTCTCCTCTACACCACCGTCATCAGGTATTGTGACCCAGCAATGGAAAAGCCAGCTAATACAATGAGTAAGTAAAATAAATGACTGCTGTACAAAACTTGGTAACAGTGGTAAGTGAACAGGAAAAATAAAATAACAAGACAATTCCACTTCTAGAGACTTTCTATTGTTTGGTAAAGCATAGGAATGATTAGACTTTCTGATGTACATTAAATTATCTAGGGCTATGACTAAAATGTTCATTCATAGGACAACTTACACACAAGTAAAGGGGGGTAAATAGAATGGATAAAAGATGAGTAACAATATAACCAAAAGTCAAGAAAGGAAACCCATTTGTTGTACACAAAAATTAGATCAAGTAGGAAGCAAAACAGCAAAAATACTATCACTAATATATCAGTAATTACAATGAATTCAAATGCATGAAACTTTTACATTACTGATATTGCCAGGTGATATTTTTTTAAAAAGTAACACCTAGCCAATTATATTCTATTTAGGAAATAGTCTAAATGTATGACAGAAAGGTACAAATCAATGGGTGGAAAAAGAAGTATCAGGCACCTAGTGAACCAGAAGAAAGCTGGTATAAGGTAAGCAGAATTATTATCAAAGCAACACCATTTACAGTTAACATCAGAAAAAACCACATAAATATAAATCTAGCAACACATATAAGGTCCATGTGAGGAAAGCACAAAATTTTGATGAAAGAAATCAGAAAACAGGGCCAGGGATTTAGCTCAGTGAGAGGCATAAGCACCTGCCTGGAAAGCTCTAGGTCATGAGTTCGATCCCTGGTACCAAAAAAAAAGGAAAAGAAATCAGAAAACACATTGGCACCCCTTTATCCTTAAAATGTGTTCCAAGACTCCCAGGGGATGCCCCTTGGACAGTACTGAATCCAATATTGCATATACAGCATTATGTTTTTCCTACATACATGGATCTATGATGAACCTTCAACTTTTCACTAAAGGAGGCCCCTTTATCCTCTTTCATATATCTGAATTTCCAGAGTATCACTCTCACACTCTGGACCCATTATTAAGTAACATTAGCATTGTTTCAACACAGCACTACTACAATAGTCAATCTGGTAACTCAGAGAGGGATACTGAATGACCAAGAGGCGGGCAGTGCATACAGCATGGTTATGCTGGATAAAAGGCAAATTCACACCCTGGGCAGGACAGAGCAGGACAGTGTGAGAGTCTGTTCATCACACCACTCAGAATGGTGCACAACTGAAAACTTATGAATTGTTTGGTCTTGGAATTTCCTCACTTGGTATTTTCAGAGTATAGTCACCTACGAGTGACTGTCTCTGTAGAATGACCAACTGTGGATTAGGGGAGACTACTGTACATAAATGGAGAGCTAGTTCAGGTCCATAAACTCTGTAGTAAGATGCTGGCCCTTCCCAGCCTGATCTCTACATTCGGTGTAATCCCAGTCAAAATGCTAACCAGTTATTTTATGAATCTCAACAAAATGATTGTAAAGTTTGTATGGAAGGGTAACACAATGTCAAAGAAGAACCAAGTCGAACGACTGATACCACTCAAGTTGAAGAATACTGTAAAGCTACTGTATTCAAGCCAGCGTTGTGAAAGAACACAAACACATCAATGGAAAGCCCACAAATGGATCCACGTAAAAAGAGTCAACTGTTCCCTGGCCAAGGATCCAAGGCAACTCAACGCAGAAAGGACTGTCTTTTCAACAAGTGACGCTGCAACAACTGGACATCGTTCTGCAAAAAAAATTAGATACAGACTTTACACCACAAAATTTAACTCAAATGCATTCTAGATCTAAATGTAAAACATAAAAGTATAAAACTCTTAGAAGATAACAAAGGACAGAAGTCAGGATGTCTGGGTTTAGTGATGACCTAGAATACCAAAAGCACAATCCAAGAAAAAAGAAACAAATAATTCAGACTTTATTAAAATCTAAAACTTCATTCGCGGCCTGCAGGGAGAGAGAACCAGGCCCCACGAGGAAGCGATCCCCCCCTGGAAACCACATCTTTTTCATTGTTTTACTGGGTTGGGTTTTATTCTCTTCTGTTTTGTTTGATTATCTTAAATCTGATGGCATGAGCCATTTAAAAGAGAGCAAGACATATGATGGTAGCAATTTTGGATTTATTACTGGCTTCTTTTGAAGTCCTTTATTGCATTCACTGTTTTGTTTTTATTCTTTGTATTCTGTTCTGTTCGATTTTTACTATGTCTGAAGGTATCTGCAGCTATTTTGAAGATAACAAAAGGCATTATAGTAACTATTGTTGATTTTGTACGATTTTAAAGTCCTGCATCATTTATACTGGTTTACTTTGGTTGGTTTTATTGTTTTATTTTCTTTGGCTTTACTTTCTGTAAAGTAAAAATAAATAAGTAAAATCTAAAACTTCTCTATGAAAGACACTATTAAGTAATGAAAAGGCAAGCCATACGTAGACACAAAATATTTTTGAAGCCCTCGACTGAGAAAGGTCTGGAATTCAAAATAAAGAAAGAACTCAATATTTAGAAAATAACAAACACAATTTAACAGGACAAGGGGCTGGACAGACACTTCAACAAGTAGGTCAAGTGCAAGTAAGCATATGGAGATACTCTACATATGGGGGCCAGATTGTGCACCCCAAAATTCAGTACCTCAGAATGTGATGATACTCTCAGATGTGGTTTTAATGGGGTAATTAAGGTAAGGTGAGGTTAAAGGGGACCCTAACTCAATATGGCAGGCAGCTTTATCAGAAAAGGCGACAAGGGCACTAATGTACATTGGAGACCTCAGAAGAAGACAGCAATGGCCAAGTCAAGCCCTAGCAAATCTACACAGCACAGCACCTTATCAAGAACTTCAAATTAAAGCAACACAGCTCCTCAAATGGTGAAAATCCTAAGTCATAACAGTCAGCCTCAAGAAATATGTAAGGGTTAGCATTATGCAAGAAACTTTCACAGGTAGCTATCTGTATGAAAAAGAAAACTAATATAGATCATCATACACAAAAATAAATGCCAATTAAATTAACAAATATGAAAACAAAATTATAAAACTTTTAAAAGAGCAGTATAAGAAAATATATTTGTGCTTTTTGTGTTAAGGAAAGACAAAAAATACAAGCCATACAATGATTTGCTCTATTGACTCCATAAAATTTAAAGACTTCTGCTCATCAAAAGAAGCCAAAAAAGAATAGATACTAGCTGGGGCAAGACATCTGAAACACATAAATCTGACAAAAATTACTACCCAAAATACAGAAGGAAACTTACAAATTAATAAGCATCCATAAGAAAAATGGGCAAGAAATTTGAACAGCTACTTGAAGGAAATGTATATGGCCCACAGACTGAAAACAGACTCAACCTCATCTGTAATTCAGAAAATACAAACCAAAGCCACAATGCAATACCAAAACCCATAAGACTACCAAGCCCACAGGAGGCTGAGGCAGGACTGTGCATTTGAGGCCAGCCTGGACAACACGGTAAGATCCTATCTCAGTCAATCAATTAATCAATCAAATAATAAGCCCATCAGATTGGCAAAGATTTCTAGGTCAAGCAAGATGATTACTGGAGCACTGAGACAGGATAGAGACTGCATCAGCAGCTCAAGGGAGCACGCACTGCAAACAGCTTGCACTGCCTGGGAAGGGGGAGGAGATGGGGACCTGCCTGGCAACCCTAGCAAATCTGCTTCATGCGCACACAATATAGTCTACAATAGTTAAAAACAGGACAGACCTTACAAAGTCATCTACTACAGAGCACATCATATATTTCAATTGAATGCTAAATGTCAAAACAGCAAATAGTTAAAACTAAACATGCATTATTTACTGGAACTTCTATGTATGTGATAAAATATAAAGAGTAGATCTATAACTTCAGGATGGGACACAGGAGCAGGGAGGCAGATGAGACAGGACTGGCTACTCTGGGTTTTCTGTAACACAAGAAATCATCTTCAACCGAGGCAGGTATAAGATGTTGATTCTAAGATTCCATGAACTATGCCCATATCTCCGCTAGACAGAGACAGACACAAGTCACAATAAGATTTTCCAATGAATGAAAGCAAAGAAATGTTGATTACGAGCATAATAGGTGTCATCTTACCAGGGTAAGAATGATTCTGTTTGTTTGAAGAGATTTCTGAAAGTGCGTCCAGGGAATCCGTTAGTCTGTGAATGAAACAAAGCATGCCTCGTTAGGAGGAGCTGACGTTCAGGCTTACGACTGCCTCTCTGCTGAGGCTTTCGCACCAGTTTCTATTTCGTTCCTTCAACCCACACTTAGTGAGCACCCATAGAAGTCAGGAGCAAGGTTCAGTCAAGCATGAGACAACAATGACCAATGAACAGGGCCTGCGGCAAGCACAGTAATAGAAAGAAGCAAGAGGAACATGACTTCCTTTACAACACGGGCCTGATTTTACTTTATTTAACTTTATTAAAATAAGTAAGTATATTTTATAGTAAATGCAACAAATGTGAAATTAAAACTGAAAATATCACTATTCTTAAGCTGGAAAATGCACTGGCTGAGTTGGTACAAGTCTGATTTTTCTGATAAACACTACATCTGATACAGTTCAAGGCCCTTTACATTTGACTCTAATCATAAAGGTCATCTTCCCAATGGTTTCTCTTAGTGTTTTTTATTCAAATCATTTACTTTAAAAAAAAAAAAAAAAAAGAGCCAGGAATTTAGCTCAGCGGCATAAGTGCCTGCCTGGCAAATGCTAGGTCATGAGTTTGATGCCCGGTATCAAAAAAATCCCCAAAAACACCAATCTTGACAGCCTCATTTTCTTTCAACAGTTTACTGACCTTAATCTGCAAGACCTTCATTTGCAATCATCACTTCTTCCACATAATTTATTTTCACCAAGAGATCCTGCAATTCTTGCAATATTTGCAATTTCATTTCAAAATCCCTATGCTTCGTTTTTACGTATCTATAGTATACCACAATCAGTAAGGGACTTACGGACACAAAAAATATGATCCGAGGAACAGGACAGTTACCTGACTTGACAGCTGAAAGGAACTTAATGCTAGAGATAATCAGTTCATTAGAAATAAGTGCCTGATGGTAAGAGCTAAGAAAATAAATACTACGCTACACAGAAGATCACTTGAGGGTTGGGGATGTGGGAAGAGGGAGAAAAAAATGCAGAGCGGGGGGAGAGATCAGATTTGGCCCAGTTAGTAAGTTTTCTCACAGTTTCTCTAAAGAAATGCTGATGTAGTATGTATATTAACCAAATAGATAGATAGATAGACAGACAGGTATTAACTAAAGAAAAGTGGGGTAATGGTAGGTCTAGAATGTCATCCAAACAGAGGAAAGAGTATGTGCAAAGATCCTGGTGCAGGAGGCACATTTTGAAAGTGCAAAGGGGGAAATAAAAGGCCACCTAGAGTTCTGAGGAAGAGAAAATGCAAGGTGAGACTGTAATTGTTTATAATTTTATTAAGGCTGTCTTTAAGCGGTCCCCACTTTAAAAGCCTTCCTAAGATCAGCAGGGTCTTTAAAAAGCTCACAACTGGTTTGGATTAGAAACGCCTCAAAATCAGAGACCATGTCTGTTTTATTTGTTTATAGAATGCCTAGCACAGCACAAAGTGCTAAAAGACATTTAATAGTATTTGATGATGATGAATGAGACAATCAGAAGATGACAGGAAGACAGCTGGATGGAGACGGCAGTGCGCTTTGAGAGCCCTGTTCCTTCTGAGGAGAGGGGGCTGCTCTCAAACGCACCACCTTAAAGAGGACCCAGTAGAAGGCAAACAAAGCATCAAGTGAAAAATGTGTGCTCCGTAAACAAAGTGGGGAGAGGGGAGCCATGAGAAAGGATACGGCCTTACAGAACAAAAGAGGAAAAAGCTGCTCTAGAACAGGAAGCACTCAACTGGGAATCAGACCTGATGCCTAAAATACGCCAGACTGTGTCGTCTGAGTAATCGAACACCAATCGAACCCGGTCAGCGCTCAGAACCAGGAGAAAAACTTGCAGGAGCCCAAGGCAGCATGCTGAGAAATATACCCAAGGAACCAGGGCACAGGGAACCTGCCTGGCCACTCCGCAGGACGTGGCTTCCCCATCAGGCAGTCACTGGCAAGACACAGACCCTAAGGACAGTCACAGGAGCTCCTTTATGCAAGCCTCGTATGACTGTGGTGAGAAGCACTCATGCCGTTTCATCACATCCCTGGGCCACACTTTCCCCATTTGCGGAATGGGTAGTTACAGTGCCTGACCCAAGCGGCTGTGCAGAAGCAGACCATCGCCACAGAAAACCGTGCCCGCTACATATACCTGCTTCTCGAAAGGAGCTGGCATCTCCTTTCTGCCACTTCACAGAGCGAAGTGAGTTTAGGAAAAAACAACAATAAATTAACAAACATGGACTTATTCCCTGCTCCTCCATTAACTGCCCATACAACTTTAGCTAAGTTACTGTTTTCTTGAAACTTGTTTTTAATCTGACCAAATGAAACACAGACATTTAAGCGAAGAACTACAAAGTACTGCATGTAGAAATACAAAACAATGATATCAAATATATCTTAAAAGAAGGAAATTAGCACAGAAAGTGTATGTAGTTATTCAATGAGAAAAATAAACTGAGGAAGAAAATGGATATAAGGAAACTTCCTTTTCCCGGACACAGACACATTCTTGTTAGGGAACCTGATGCAACAACCAGCCTGTGCCCACAGCTCTATCCTCATGAACACCGTTACACTACATAGGTTACTTCTCGCCTGGAGATTACTATCCACTTCCCAGCCCCTGAAGAGTGCCACACTCCGCTTCTTCCAGCATGTGAGTAAAGGCTCCCCACATTCACTCAGATTTTCATGAGCACTTATTTCTGCTCCAACTGTTTTCTAAAACCTGAGTGAGGTGAGGTGTAAGTGTACTATCTTACAAAGGAACACCAAAGGGGTTTATTACATATAAATCCTTGAAACTTCACTTCCCCCCAAGATCTACCGCCTGTCTATTTTTAAAAACTAAAGAAATCAGAGGGAAAAGCCATTTTGGTTCCATTAGGTTTGCAGGAGAATGAATGGGTGCCTGCTGGCAGGAAATGTAATGTAGTTAGGATGTGACTGAGGCAATCAGAGCATTTTCACTTTTGTTTGGATGACAGATTAAGCTTGCTGCTTTCACTGTTCGTAGCTGCAAACACCACTTCTAATGGCCTACACATCCTCATAGGGTTTGCAAATGAGGAAGAAAGGAGGTTTTTAAAATTGCAAATTCTCAGCAAGGCAAATTTAGCTTTCCAGGAGCCTTCTCTTTGGGGAAGGTGGTTGGTTAACCCTTTGAAAGAAGGTGTGCCATCCAGATAAAATTAGAATCCCTCTGTGCACTGCAAATCACAAAAGTTCAAGTCAATAAACATAAATTCTGTTTTTCTCACCTTTGCACCCTGGATGGGGGAGCAAATATTCCGTATCTTGGAGAACAACTGAAATACTGCACACCGCCAACGGAACCATCATTCTTGCCGTGGGGTTTTTCAAGCTCTATGCCGTACCAATACCCTAGAACATGAATACTGAATTTTTAAAAGCATCGGTACTTTACTCAAAATTATTATGCTGTTACATGAACTCAGAGTCTAGATGGTTTAACATTTTCACAAATGACCATAATGATAGAAGATCATCGTGTTCGTTAAGCTTTCAAATCATAAAATTATAAAGTAAAGCCTGAAAATTTGAAAAGTGGAAAAAACATTTGACCAGCATAATTGCAAAGCAGTACATTAAAACGGGAAAATTGCACAAACACAAATATGCAAAGGATTAGCTTTATGCAAATATGCTGCGACCAAAATATGTCTTAAAACGAAATGAAAAAGGAACTGCCCTTGACTCTCTAATACAGTGTTTCAGTGTGAGCAGTGTAATATACAGGGGCATAAATGATAAAGGGAACATGCAGTCTTTTCATTTCATTGTCTCTGTTATACCAGAAACAGCTGGTAAGTAATTAAAGGACAAAAGTAATATGAAAAACACCACTAGACATCATGGGACACTGTTTCCTCTCTTTCCTCTCCATCAGATCAAGAAGGAAAAAAAACATTTTTAACTTAAATGAGAAGATTTAGGTTAACTAATAGGAAGAATTTTCTAGATAACTTTTAGTAGGGGTCTCACTCTGAGAAAAGTAATAGGATGTTCTCTTCTACAGAGCTTAAAATTGAAGAAGAAATGTTACTTTTGGTATTTCCACCAAAATAAGGTAAGTGGACATAGTCTCAGTACATCCTGACTAATCTTAATCACTACATGGAGGAGCTAAGGGAGTCATGAATTACGCAACACATAAGCCATCCTGATTTAGTGACTTGCAATTAGAAGATGGTATTAATGAAGAAAGTGTTGTAAGACAATGCTCCATGGCTCTCATATTTCTGAGATTCTTAAAGCCTGCGGTACTGATTACTTGGTTCCAGACTGTCTTTTTCTAGATGTCTATAGAGGACACCCTTGGAGGACAGAGATAGAGTCTTTTTCCACAGCAAAAGGCAGGCACACTGATTAAAAAATAAAAGGCTCAGAGTCCCTCAGCTCAGGGCTCCTCTTCTGCAAGCTGACCTGCTGGGTATGCGGGCATCACCTGGCCCTGTTTGCCCCACTATGCAGGGCTCAGAGAATAGGGCAAGAAAATGCCAACACGCAGGCTAGGGGTGTTATTGTGAGTCTGAAAGTCCTTTGTCTCTGGGTAGGACTCGTGTCTTCCACCAACATCTGTGAAACTGTGGCAGGCTAATTTGCTAGCTGCAAACAGAATAAAATCTCAGATCGTGTGCAGTTATTCATAGCATGCTGTACTACAGAGCTGTTGTTGTTTTTTCTTTTAATCAATGTTCTAAGTCACCTTTCCCTAAAATGCTGCAATGCCACCATGTGTTAAAATAGCAGATTGCTATTTAAAACACACAAACATGGCTTCATTCAACTGGCTGCTATTTAAAATCTCTGAAAATGCAAGAAAAAAAAGTCTATTTTTGGAAACATACATTAAGTATAGATTGAGATCAATATCCAAACACAAAAACGTGTATTTTTAAGGTCCCAGGGTACACAAAAGCTTTACTTTCCTCCATTGACCCCTTCAAGGCATCCTATAAAAGCTATACTTACCTCACTTTATTTTAAAGTTGTCATTGGAAATGTACTAATCCTAAAATGTGTTCATTATCATTTAGCACATTCAGCAATCAGCACAAACTTGGGAAGTAACAACTAATTTTAAACCAGACAAAAGAAGACATAATTGGGCAAGAGAAATTTCTGGACACCAGTTAATCTGAATACAAACAGAATACAAGCAATCTGAGTTTTTACAATGCTGTCACATTTTCTGGACCATTATTATGATCCATAAGAACTGTTAATCACGAATTCTCTGTGATTCAATTTACCCACAACATTTTAAATCTTTTGTATTCTAAAGACCCAAACCAAGCAAAAAATCACTCAGATGAATTACCTGGAGCAAAATTTGTTGTCCCAAAGAATTTAATCGTACCAACTCTCTGGCCTACCACCAATACTCTGTCCCCAAGGTGAAGCTCTCCTTCGCGACGAGTATTATTTACTATAGATGTTGCTGAGGAATTCAAACCTGTTTAGGTGGTGAGAAAGAGAAAGAGAAAAAAAAGGGGGGAAACTTAAAAAGCACCTTAGTGGAAAACATCCTTATAAGTTCTAGTCTAGTGAGCCAGGAGTTCCGATCCTAGAAGTCTTTCCTTAAACATCGCCTACAGTGTGTTTCTGATAGGGAAGTTGAGGCACTCAGGTAGTGTGAAACTGATGGCCACGTGAGGGTCACACAATCTGATTCCTGCTAAAGAGCTCACCCTTCCACAATGGTCTGGTGTACTCTACTAGAAGAGCGGGGAGCACATTTTTTATGTGAAAAACTAGACAGTTAAATAGTTTAGGCTTTGTAATGCAAAACTGTATCCCAGTGACTAAACTCTGCCCTGAAGCAGGAGAACAGATAGAGCCCAGGTGAAAAGGAGCCCACAGAAACCAGGCGGAAGGTCTCATCTGGCAGCTGGGTTACAGTACGCCAATGCCCAGACTCCCAAAATGCTAGGATTACTGTAGTTCACTTGGACTCAGTGTAAATGAGGAATGTGACCTGAAAGTAAGCTGCTGAGCATCTCTAACCTGAAAATTCAAAATATGAAATGTTCAAAATATGAGACTTATGAAGTGTCAGTGTTCCAATTAACATTACAGTGCCAGTATTCAAAAGCTTTCCAACACTGAAGCATTCGGATGGTCATATTAGAGATGTTCAATCAGTGAAGCCACTGCAAATACTCCAAAATCTTCCCCCAAATCTGAAATCTGAAACAATTATGCTCCCAAGCACTTTAGATAAGGGTTATTCAGCCTGTAACTAGCCCCAATTAATCCACACTGATTTTCTGTATAAGAATAAAACAGCTCCATTCTCAACTCGATTCAAAACTAAATTCTAAAACACACAGAAATTTTGTCTCGAAAGCTGTTGAACTCGAAAGCTGTCAAACAGAACAGCTGGATAAGAAGAGGTGGGGCACCAGGCCTTGTCCCATAAATCCATAATCAGAGGCTGAAGAGGTACCATCTGGGGGCAAGAGAGCCCTGGGTGAGGCCTGGAAAGGGGATAAGTCCCACTGTAAGAAGGGAGAAACCAAAAATGTGGCAAGATGTGGAAAGCATAAGCCGTGGAGGAGGGTCTGGGCAAACTGCTGCCCTAAAATAAAGGCCTGGTTCCTCTTACAGAACTCATATTCTATAGCACTGTGTAGCTTGTGAATTGTAGCACTTTGTAGCTTATGCTTTCTCTGCATAAAAATCACAGTAATACAAAAAAAAAACCCCACAAACTTGAGATTATCTAAATTTACAGCTTCCGGGTGGCACAGCTAAATTAACACCCAGACTCCGTGATCCAAATTCTCAGGTCTGTCCTGAGTTCCCGCAGACAAACAAGACGATGAGCCCGGCCGCAGGCTCGGAGCACAGACTTCCTCCCAAGCTCTCCCACGCCCCCCTTCCCTTCCGCTCCTCTCTGATCGCTTACCCCACCTTCTCACCACCACCCACTCTCTGCAGGTCACATTCCCCTCTGACACAAAGCCTGCGACAGAAACAGCTCGGTGTCCAGTCATTCTTAAACACAGTTCTTAAGGAAGTGGCTCCGGAGCTCCACACGTTTCTTTTTCCACCACTCCTCCCTTGGAGAGGTCCTCTTTCTCACCAATAAACTGTCCTGTCTTCACCACTCGGCCTATGAACCCCTCAAATGTATATTTTAAAAATGCTAAGTGTATAACTATACTATGACTACTTCTTATAAGGTTTTTTAAAAAGTTCTTACATATCCACATATGTATTTTTAAATCAAGTAAATGTCCAAAGCCCAAGTCCCCAAAGAAGGGGGCCCTTAAATGGAATTACAACAAGGCACACAGGATGAGGTCTCCTGCCTTTGTGTCTTACAGCACTAAGAATTGGGGGCGGGGGGCTATTTAGAGAACAATTGTTCCAGATAAACAATGCCAGGCAAAATTCCCAGGTTCCTTGCTTTTAGAGTTCCCACTTTTAAGTGTATTGTATCAATGCTTCTGCTTCAGAGTTTGGAGGTTTTTTTTTTTCCTCCAACAATAACGAATTTTTTAGAGAAACAAATTATGTCACAAACTTTTACTATAATGAAGCACAGGCTCAGTACAAGCATTATAGAGATATTATCAAAAAATCTGGTAATTATCATGAGGGTCATTATGAACAATTTAGGCCAAAATGCCCTCACTTCTTTTCTAAACAAGTTTACTATGTACGCAATCTAAGCTGATTTTCAGAAACTGTGGCGAAGTACTGTGTCTCCACACAGACAGCTAAAGAAAATGGAATGAGGAGTCCAGAAGAACATGGTGGATAGAGAGCAGCAGCCTCGGAGGCTCTTTGAGAAACCGCACTTGAAATCCAGGAATCGTGCCAGGCAGGAAGTCCTAGGCAAGGGGGGATATTCTTTGCCGACACAGGAATGAACTAAATTAAGAGAAACCAACTGGAAATGCAATCCCAGTGATACAGCAGGAACAGATGAGGTCTCAGCTCGGAACCTGGACCCCGCGCCACTGGAAACTGCGATTTGAATTGCCTGTAGCCGCTGCTGCGTCCAGGTCGGCACAGCAGGGAGAGAGGCACGAAAGCTCGGAGAGTGGGAAGCGTTGGAAGGAGTTGGGAGCGGGACTGGCTGGGTGCCCTGCATTGACCTGTGGTGAGTGAGCAGATCGGGACCCTTCCATAGAGAAGGAGGCTTCAGCGGAGGACATACTCAGACTGGGCAGACTTCCCAGAACAAGATGCTGCAGTGACTTCAGTCACATATCCCCCTCTCAAGCGGGATTGGTGGGGAGTGCCTGGCCTGCGAGATGCCGCTGGCTGAGACCCAGTAGGCTAGCCCAACCTAGGTCCCAGCGCCTGGAGGTGCACCCTAGCGGTGAAGCCTTCAGTAGGTTGACCTGGAGGGGCAGGCCGGCATAGACTAACCAGGTCTGTGTCTCCCTGGTACGCTGCGGTGGGCAGGAACACCTAGCTGGCACAATTCAAACAGACTGTGGCTGACAGGGAAGGAAGCTGGGCCTCCTTTATACGCTTATATATAAGGAACAAAGAATATGGGAAGAGGGAGCAACAAGAAAGGGTCCTCGGCCCCCAACACTGAGAAACATACAATAGCAGACACAGCACCAATAGATATAAAGCACTATCTCCAGGCCTCATAGACGAGTTCAGGAATGAAGTTATTAATGACCTAAAGCTAGACATAAGCAGAATAGTTAGAGAAATGCTAAGCACCGCCCAAGAAAAAACAGATGGTGGAATGAAAGAACAGAAAAAAAGGGGAGAATTGTTTGATGGAGAAAATAGAGAAAGCATAGAATACATGAAGCAGGTTCAAAGAGATTACCAGGAACTAAAAACTCTATCAAAAACTGGCATAACAGCTTGAAAGAAACTAAGGACAGATTATCTGAACTGGAAGGCAGATTTGTAATATGGGAGCATAAAATGAAAAACTTCTTAAAAATAACAAAAAAAAAACAGCAACAATACAAAAGCTAGAAGATGACAAGAGGATCTATAACTTAAGAATTAAGAGCATAAGAGAAGAAGTGGGGACACAAACAAATGGACTACAAAAGCCATTCACAGAAATAATCCAAGAGAATTTCCCTAATTTAGCAAATGGTAAAGATACTCAGATATATGAGGCATACAGGACTCCAGCCACCTACAACCCAAACAGAGCTATACCCAGGCATATAATAATCAAAATTCCAGAAATCCAATATAAGAACAGAATATTAAAAGCCATCAGAGACAAGAAACAGATCACTTACAAGGGAACACCCATCAGAATTATAGCAGACTTCTCGGCACAAACCATCAAATCACAAAGAGCGTGGGGGGAAATAATTCAAGCTTTGAAAGATAATGACCTCCAGCCAAGATTGATATATCCTGCACAACTGTCCCTAGAAATTGATGGAAAAACAAGGTGCTTCCAGGATAAAGAGGAACTAGGGGAATTTGCAATCACTATTTCAACTCTACAGAGAATACTGCAGGATAGTCTAAAAAAGGAAAATATCAAGATTCCAGAAGTAGTGGCAGAGAGGCCACAATGAATGGAGCAGAAAACGAAATAAAGAAGACAAACTGACAACAAACGACAGAAAAAGAGCTCAACAGAAATGAGGCAGAGAAGATTGGAAGGTAGGAACAGCTATTTTGGAGAAAACAAGACATCATAATAGCTAGTGCAATTTAGTACCATCTTGTTTTGAAGTCCCATCAAACTTGTATTCTTCTGTCTCCATTGGTCTTAAAAGGTTGTATCTTATTGGATTTTATTATATATGATAATATAAGCAAAAACTTTTATAGACAAGGAGTTTATATAGAAACCATTGTTCATTTTCTGTTAATTGGTCCTAAATACCCTGTAATAATGTCACTCTCTTGAGGTTTTATAGTGTCTTGATATGTTTGGTGCTACAGTATACAAAGTTATACTCAAAGATTTCAAGGAAAGAGACACTATGGGAACTATTTTTATGTCAGGATATCTTGTGGTGAAACACTATTTTGCTCAAATGGTTATGATTTGACCTGCGCTGTTCTGTTGTTATGCCCTCTTTTATCTCAATCACCTTTTTTTGATTTACTTTTTTCTTTTTTATTTTTTTAATTAAGGGGAAAATTAAAAAATAGCAGGATACATTATAGTAACCCACTTTGATTTCCTATTAACTTGGTTTGAAATCCTGTATTGCCCTCACCATCTTGTTTTGACTGATTTTCCTCTATTCTGCTTTGCTTGATAGTACCAAGTTCAAAAGTATAGGCATAACTGTGAAGACAATAAGAATCATTATGATGCCCACTCCGGTTGACTATTATTTTCTTTTAAAATCCTGTAATGTCTCCAATGCTTTGGTTTTATTCTTTATTGTTTAGTTCAATTTTATTATAACTGCCAATTCTTCTTAAAATAGCAAGAGGCAGTATGGTAACCATTGTTGATCACCTTATATTTTGTTTTTACATTATCTTTTATGTCAATCCTTTTGATTTGACTGACTCTGTTCTGATATGTCGCATTTGGTTTTACTCTCTTCAAAAAAAGTAGTAAGAACTGTGGGAGTAATAAAACCCAAAATGTGTAATTGTCATTGTACAAAGGAAAAGAAAAGAAAGTGCTCTAAAGGTTATAATTGCATATATGTTAAGTGTATAAGACAGATAACCATATTACTGAGTGTTTTTTGGATCATTGAACAAAACTGTTTCCAGACTCACTGTTTGAAAGTCCACTTTATATGCTTTAATTTTGTAACTGGAACAACTATTTCTAAGATGAGAATATGTAATCTATTAACTAGTGATTTCTTATGGTTTATTTTGTAAATTTTATATTACTTGTACCCTTTTTCTGTTTTTTTCCTTTTTCTCCTTAAATAAAAAAAAAAAGGAAAAGGAATGAGGAGAATTATGCAGGACCACGGCCACTTGAAAAGCCACACGAGAACAGGTTTCACTGTCATCTGGGAAAGGAACTGTCTGGTCCTCTCCAGCAGAGTTTTAAACAATTCCTTCACTAAAAACAGAGACAATGCACTTTTCACTATGAAGAGAGCACAAATTCATGTGAAAAATTAATGCGCCAAAAAACAGCAGTCATATGCGATGAAGCCCCTAAGGATAAATTAAGGAAAAATAAATGCAATATCTTGGATCCAACAACAAAAGAAAGAGATGTGGCGTAGGTCCAGGGGAGGCGGGAAGGTCAAGATTGCCGAGTGGAGCAATCCGATTGATACAGAGGTCTCCTTCTACACATTTAAAAGGAGCAAATCTACTTACACAAACCCAGATAAAAAACATCAAGAAAGACTGGCTGAAAAAGCCGTAGATACCAGTGCTGGCTCCGGACGACAGAGAAGGGCTCTTGCTCATGGTCTTCTTGCTGTTGCTGCTTGCATTGGGTTTCTTCGAGGAGCTCTGTTTGTGCTCCAGAGAGGATGTGGAGGAGCTGCTGCTGATGGATCCAGGCAGCGGGACTAAAACAGGAATGGGACAGGCCACATTAAAGTGCAGAGAGTACAAAAAGGGCCAATAGGATGATTTTCCAGGAAGATGCTTCAGAAATGCTCTAGTTAGCTTCTTCAACTGTGGATTATCTTCTCTCAAATTAGAGGCCTCACTTCTCCAAATAAGCAGTAGTTTTTTCGAGATTCACATTATAAACACAATCTTATATAGAGGCAGTCACTGAATCACTTAGTGCTTACTGTTTACCATCATTCCGTACCTCTCACCTTAGCAGGGTCCCATCCTAATCACCTAATCACCTAATAATTTGATGCTAAGGCAGCTTAAACATTTTTATCAAGCCATCTGTACTATGAATTTCCTTTCATTCCCTCGAGTAATCTAGTCCAGTACTACAGTTCTGTAAGTGCACATAATAGAGTACAGGATTTTTTAAAAAATATATACTTTATTATGAGTTTCTTAGGAGATTTTCAAGTGTAATTTTTTTCTATGAGTTTTCCTTTGCTGATTTTAAAACTTAATGGCCACACGAACTTTTTTCCTACTATATTACTTTAAAGTTCCACCAAGAAGTTAAATTTTGAGAAACAGAAGTTATAAATTACATTACCATCTTTCTCTGCTAGAGTTTTCAGTTCTTCACTGGGCGGCAATGAAAGTGCTGATTCAGAAATACTCTCCTTTTTTGATGTCATCAATCCTAGGCACAGAAACCGAAAAATTGCAGTGCAAGAGAATTTTGTTTCACATTGAAACATAAAAATGCATTCATTTTTTGAAAGTACATGCATCCTTTGTTATCTAACTCTGATCCATTTCTGACAACATGTCCAATAGTAATTTCACAGAAAGTATGAGCCAATCTTTCACTGTTCCACTATTTAAAAAATGAAAAAAAGGTTTAGGTAAAGCTCAGTGATAAAGGACCTGCCTAACGTGTGTGAGGAGGCCCAGGCTCATCCCAGCACTGGGGAAAAAAAAGATAAAGGCTGAAGAAAAGAATGCAGAATTATACAGTACACTAAAGGGATACCTGCTGTCAGGGTTTATGTCAGGGGTCCCCATGCCTCATGCAATTGTGCATTTGTGATTGGTTTATTGTCTAGCACTCGGATTGGTAGTGTGAATGCTACACCTGCCGAGGGGTGGAGCCAGGATATGACGTAAGGGCAGGATGAAGGTGTGTCTCTGTGTCTCTGTCTGTCTGTCTGTCTCTCTCTCTCTCTGTGTCTCTCTCTCACCAGTTTCCACCTTGCTGTTGCAGCAGCCATGACTACCCCACCATGCCACGCTGCCTTGGAGCCAACTGAGTATGGCCAACCGTAAGAAATAAACCTTTCCTTCCCTAATTTTGGGCATCAGGTATTTTGTCTCAGCAACCAGAAAAAAGTAACTAAGACATCTGCGTGCCCATGTTTATTGTGACAACTTGTGACAGCTAAGCTACAGAAACAGCCTATCGACAGATCAATGGATAAAGAGAATGTGATGTATATCTGCACAATGGAATTCAGCCATAAAGAAATATGAAATCGTATCTTTTTGGAAAATGGATAGAATTAGAGACCACAGTGTTAAGCAAAACAAGCCAATGAATACAAAAGTACGAAATACTCCCACAGTTCCCTTAAAGTTTACAATTCTGCTGAGAGAGTAACAGATGTGCACAAATAAAGTAATCAATGGACAAAGTCCAAGGTAACAAATATCAATTGGTTGTTATAAAAAGTACATACAAAGTGAGAGAGTGAAGGGATTAAAGGGAGCTAGGAGGAGATGTCTCCATGGAAAATGGGGTGTGAATAAAGAGGCAGGTAGCCAGGAGAAGTGCCCTAAGAGATTAGGGTCAGACACCCCTAATCCCAGCTCTGCACGGCTGAGGCAGGAGGATCACACACTTGAGTCTGGTCTGGGCAATTTAGGGAGGCCTTGTTTCAAAAAAAATTTTTAAAGAGTTGGGGACATAGCTCAGGGTGAAAGCCCTGGGTTCATCCTCCTGTACCGCAAAAAAGAAAAAATAAGAAGGAAGAAGAAGGATCAGAGGAGGAGGAGGAGGAGAAAGAGGAGCAGTAGCAGCAGGAAGAGGAGGAGAAGCAGAAGCAGAGGAGGAGGATTGGGGTGAGGAACAGGAAGAAAGGAGGGGAAAGAAGAAGAGATAGATGAGGAAGAAGAGGAGGAGGAGAAGTCAGAAAAAAGAACAGTTAAGGAGCCTGCAGTCACGCCACAGCATCTGAGGAAACTCCCCACAGGAGCAAAAGACAAGCAACGGATACAGCAACCACCACTCAGCAATGGGACTGCAGGGAGAGGGGACCCCACGCCCAGGAGGATGCCTGCTAGGCGCCGGAACACGCCCTGAAAGAAAAGCACAGGGAAAAAGTCACTAAGCATCTCCGAGTCGGTGAGGAACACACGGCCAGGTGTGTTTCAGAAAGACTCACTGGAGGCGCCACACCCAGCGGAGCAGTTAGGTCTGCGGTGTCAGAGGAGAGTGTCAGAGGAGAGGACAGTAAGACAGGGAACAGAGAGACAAGTCTGAGACACTGCTGGTGGGAATTAAAGCCAATCATGTGTGAGGCTCAAAAACACAAGATGCGGGTGTTATTAAGATTAGGCTTCACGACTGGCTAACAAAAAAGAATAAAGCCTCTAAACATTAGCCACCCCACGAATAAGACATAAATGTCGGGAACGTCACTCACTTCCTGGTTGGACCTACCAGTATTCACTTTTGATGTGACGTGAGCTACGCTGACTTTCTGGGGCTTGTTGGGAGGCACGGTTTTCGAGGAAGGCGGGTGTGTGATGTTCTTCCTTCGCTCTTTTGATTTACTTATCTTTGAAAGAGGAGCAAAAATACCTAAGAGAGGACACAGAATTTAGTTATCATGAATGGAAAGCAATCAGATAAAGGAGCAAATATAACTGTTAGTAACATACAGCTAACATGCCTGCCATGAGAGACAAAAAATATATAGTATTTGCCCTCAAATACAGAGCTTATAATCCAGTGGTCAAGACTGACATCACATGTAATAATTTAAGAGCCACATAAAAGACATATAATCAATCATTTATGAAGTGAAACTGGACAGGTGGAAGAGTGAGGGTAACACCTATTATTTCTAAGCTACTGGACAACAGCAGTGCACTATGTAACATACGAACTTCGTCCTTGTCATTTATGTCTCATTAGGATTAATACTTTTCCCACATTATAACTTTTTATATTTGTCTTTATCTTTTCTCTAGATTATATATTTTTAAAGAAAAAATTCAAATGTTACTAATCTCTGCCTTCCCCACTGCACCTAATTATAGTGCCTTATACATTATACAGGTAAAATAAATCTTTTTGATCTTTTAATATAATTTTCCCCAAAGGCCTCGCCTTCAACTCCTGTCGACCAGAAACAAAACTGCGTGTGCTGAGAAGGGGAGGCACAAAGGCAGGGCACGGGCTGCCCATCTGCAGCAGCTGAGAATATAAAACTCCACTAAGAAGGGTTTCTCCGGGCAATAAAATACCGACTTTTAAGTATGCGCGGACATGAGAGATACTGAACACAGACTATAAATACCAAGCTTAATCTCACTAAGACATTACAGAGGAAAATAAAGTCATAATGTGTGTGTGTTACACTTTTTCATTGAGTGTTTGCAACCTAACAAATAAGCACTGTGACTAAAGTGTATTCAAAACAACTTGTTTCAAAGCAGGATAGAAATGCTCAGGAGTCTAGAAAGCTTCGTTTACAGCTAAAAAGCCTGACTATGGCTATGGCTATGACTATATCTGATGCTGACAAAGGTTTGACGTGAGAAATCCTATTCTGTGGAAATGTAAATCTGCACAGTTGTTCTGAAACACAAAAATTCACTTTATAAAATGGATTATAAGGCAATACAGATCCATTCAAAGATTATATTTGTAGATTTATTATAAGAAAAAGATTTCAAGAGATGAAACAATGTCTACTCTAGGAATATTCTAATTTCTAAATTTCTAATTGACTAGTTCATCCCAATTATACTCCTGAAAAATAGTTATGAGAAAAATTATATAGAAGCAAAGACCACATATCAAAATATGTCATCATTGCAGTACTCATAAGCAGGTAAAAACAAGTGTCCACACAGAATGAAGGAGATCGATCACACCTGTGAACTGCAGCGGCCCCACTACCTACACAAGATACATTCCAAGGCATTCACCGGTTCCTAAAACCATAAGCAATGCCAACCCTATACATATTATGTTTTCCTTATACATATTTAGCTGCAATAAAGTTAATTTTGTAACTAAGGCACACTGGGAAATGAACAATAATAAAATAGAACAACTATAACAATTTACCATAATAAAAGTTATCTGTTTATACCACCAGTGTTCAAACTACCCAGCAGTGAGACATAAGAATTGCAGTACCATTGTGAATACGTTAAGATCTTACCAGAAAACCGCCATTGATAAAGTTACTTGTCTTTTTAGAAATAATCAGACGTTTAATTCTCTATCTTAAAAAAATTTTCTATGACATATTAAACTTGAATTATGTGGGTCTCCCACATTTTTTTAAGTTAACCAAATCATTTCAAGGAATGACTGTGTCTCAAGCCCAAAGTGAGCAGAGCATCTGAGGCCCCTCTCACCACTGATCCATATACTCAGGCCAATCAGAGCACCTCGGGGTTTACCTCAGCCCGTGACACATAACTGTAAGGTTTAACTAAAAATAGGCATATAGAGAATCACCTGAAAAGGCAACAGTAATAAATTTCCAAATAAACATGACCCATTTGACACATGTTTAACTCCATTCCTCCAAAAACTCCATTAAAATATCAGTACAGAATAAATATGGTATAAATGTTAAAAGAAAAACATGCTACACAGAAGAAAAAGTACTGAAAGCTTCTGAGAAGTGAAAAAAAGATCAAAAACAAGAAAAAGAGGACAGTGAAACTTCTGCATGGCAATCCCGGAGACTCAGGAAACAGACTGCACACCACGTCCCAAGGGCACACCCTGCACACTGCCTGTTCTATGCACAGTTTTGCTGGCACACAGCCACACCCATCTGCTCACATGTCAGCTACTGTCTACGACTGTGTGTTCACCATCACTGCAGAGCTGAGCAGCCACCATGGAGACTGTGTAATCCACAAATTACTATCTGTTCCTTCACAGAAAACGTTTGCCAAATTCCACAGTAAACAATAGAGGATCACCTTCCAATATGAAGGGAATTGTAATCCAACATAATATTTCTTAACCCAAACTATCACATGAAGTGCGAGAGTAGGAATATATTTTTAGAAAGGAAAGTCTCAAAACATTTTGCCTTCCTTGAGTCCTCTGTAAGAAAGCTACTGATGGATATGCTCCCCCAAACAAGTAAATACACCCAGAAAGAACTGCGTTAGAAAAATAAGGCCATTAAATCTTTCTTTTCATAGTACAGTTATTAAATGTCTAAATCTGGAAAAATCCAGAAAGAGTCATATAAATATATTATTGATAAACAAGCATACTAATATGAGAAGACACAGCCAAAGAAGTTGGAAAAGTTCTCAGCTCTAATGAGCAAGACTCAGAAGGCGGAAAGGCTAGTTAAGAGAAGCCTTCGTTGTTTTTAGTAAGCCTTACAAGACAGTGTGACGCATCAAACTAGGTGCATGTATTCACTTTGATAATTATTAAAGTCATAAAAACAGTATCACCCCCAAGTATTAAAATTTATTATAGAATTTCTACATCTAAAAAATCTGTGCGTTAAAGTTTACAGATAATGGAATAAAACAATCCTGACACAAAGCACAGCATTTACAAGAACTGAGCTGAAATAATATAAGCACAATAAGCCAAAGGGAAAGTAGCAGATTTAGAGCAAGACGGAGAGAGAGAAAAATACTCGTGGAGAGGAATACAATTTTTTAGTTTCTGGTTTGCCAGGTGATTTAACTGACTCAGAATTCTGAGCCAATTCGGCAGGAAAAGCCACTCGAATTTAGTGCGACCAAGCACATGACATCACCTCCAGCCTGCATCAGGGTTTAAGGCAACAACACCCAGTTCTTCCCAAGTCAGGAGCCCCCTCCTTGGAATAATCAAAGTCTTGGATGCTCACGCATTCTACTGGCAGGCTAACTATTCTTTCATAAATCTGACTTCTATCTGCCCTGTGTGCTGCTAAACTTTTTTGATACTGCCCTTATTCTGTGTTGCAGCTGCCAGAATTAACCGCAAGGAAAACTCAGGCTTGAACCTCACCGCACTCACCAGTAAGTTTCAAATTACATATGATGCATACAAAAATTAAAACATTTAAGTGAATAAAATGTACAATTTGTACCTAATTCTTGAATTCAGAAGAATTAGCTATGAAAACAAGACAGCAATATATAGAATGCAGCAATGCGAGAATTTATAAAGCCCGGCAGTGGAAGTTAAGGCATAAAGGCTACAACTCCAAGTCCAGTCTCGTACACTGAGCAAAACCCCATCTCAAAATAAAAAAGGGCTGAGTTCAATAGCATTCCCTGAGTTCAATCAACAAAAGGTAATAATGATTTATAAAGGAAAGGTCTTCTAACTGCAGAAAGCTAAATGTCCCAAAGCACTGCAAATGAAGTTCAAAGGCAAATAACACACTGAGTGAAACATCTCCAACACTGTAAATATGAATTCCTATACTATGTATTTTTAAAAACTCAGCAGTTTGTTAAAGCATGAACACTTCAATTTTACTATGCAAAAAATAAAGGGCAACTACCAAAATAATGCAAAAAATACATACATTGCAACAAAACACTTTATATGTTTTATTTCACCAAAAATCTGAGAAATATAAATTCAGTCATACAAATAAAAATCACATTTTCAAGCAACATTTAAAGTTTTAGGGTAATTATAACTACATCAAAGAAAAACACAGAATATTTAACTACTGTATACAGTTTTGTAGGAAAAATATTACACAGGAAGCCATGTACATATAATTGTTATGTTTTCTCTTTTTTAGGGTTTTCAAATCTTGCATAGTAAGCATTTTTAGTTAAAAAATTGAATAAATAAGGCTCCATTCTCAGTGCATGACAGAACCAGTAATTCTGCTAAATCTCTAACAGCCAATAGCTGGCCGGTGCTGGGTGATTACAGGACATCAAGCACTCTCGTAGGTGCGTTACACACTCATCAACACACTTCCTCCTCACATGGACCCTTGGGAGACTGTGATCCCCGTTCTCCAGAAGATAAACTGAGTCACAGGGAGTGAATGAGGTCCTGCAGCTGACAGGCAGAGACGCTGACTCACGCCCAAGCAGTCATCTCATGATGACACAGGCTGCCTTCTCACAGGGCTGTCGCCATGGACAACATGCCACCAAGATTGCAAAGAAAAATATTCACAACACTGCAAGTGGCAAAAGCAAACTGAAATGGATTTCCTGAAACACCTGTCAGAAAAAAACAGGCACAGCCGGCTTAGGAGTCATAAAGTTGGAATCGGGTGCTTCTCTAACTTTCCAAGTTCTTCAAGACTCTGGAGCTCTGTTTCCTTGATGATGAAGTCCTTCCCTCAGCCCTGATCCCATGGCAGCAGAGTTTAAGAGAGACCAAGGGCACCCAGTGCACCCCGGGCGAGATGGCTTCTTCCAACCACCACCACGCTCACGGCAATAAGGGCAGGCCCACACCGCCAGCTCCGAATTTTTCCAAGAATATCCTTCCTGCTACCATCACTGTCTCCTTACTAAAAAACTCCAAGATCAATCCTAAGGAAGGACTGACACCCTTTCCAAAAACACAGAACAATCCCGTCACACCACAAGGTGCTCAGGACTAGACTACCACGTGTGCCGGAGGTGTCTGCCAGCTGGGTCTCTCATCCACTAGCCTGACCCCAAACCCCAAAGCTCCTCCCTCCCGCCTTTCAGACCTCCCACGGCAATTTTCCACCTCCCTCTCCGCCTCGAGGCATCTGTCAGCCTGGAGACCCCTCATCCACAGTCCAGAGGGCCTGGCCACCTGCAGCACTGTGCACCTCATCCGCAGCTGCATTTGCCATCAGCATCTGTAAGCACTTGTGAGCTCAGGGTGCACTTGCCAGCACCTGTGAGCTCAGGGTACACGGGATTCGTGTTCATTGTCCAACCATCTCCAGTGGAGAGAGGCAGAGACAAGGAGAGAGCAAGAGACTGACAGACAGACACAAAGAAACAGAGACAGACTAGTGAGACACCCACCGTCAGAATATACCATCTACTACCTCTCCTGGAAACCGCCAACCTCTCCTTCTGGAAACCACCAACAGAAATGAGAATTATGCTTACTCGTGCGGTGAAAACTTTCCACCACTGGCTGGCTCCCTGCCTTTCTCTCTCCACTCTTGTCTGGCTCATGGAGACTTCTACACCAGACCAGCAAAGCCACCAACACCCAGGCTGCCTGTTCCTTCAGCTCTTCCCTTCCAGTGACCTTTCTGTCCACCAGCTTCGCTGGACAGCTACACCTCCCAAATGTTTACTGGAAGCATCTACCATGGGCCAGTCCAGGTCCCTAGGGCCAGCACTCCACTCAGCTTCTCAACCATATCAGAAGCTACCAATCATGCATTCTGCTCGCAGAGTCCATATTCCCACTCACAGCCTCATTTTCCTCCCCAGATACTCTGTGCAGTTTGTCACCCTGATTCCCTTGCATTTAGTCTCTACTCTTTTTTTTTTAATCTTTCTTTCTGTTGTGCATTTGAGGAAAAAAAAAAAAACTCTAGTGAAGCAGGCTCTCTAGGTAATCAGCACCCACATCCAAACGGTTTAATAGCACTGGAGAACACTCCACCTTGCACACCGGTTTCACGGTTCATGACCACAAATCTCCAGGCCCTTGGCACAGCACGCCCACCGCCCATACTGCCCTTACCAAGACAGCCCGGGCTCCTAACTGTGCACTTCACTCCTCTCCTCACCTCCAACCAGTCTTTCCCGCCCTATCACCACCAAGTGACCTCACTTCTTGTTCTTAGCAAAAATAGAAAGAATCCCAGGAGAAGCACCTCGTCTTCCTATGGTGTGTCTCCTTGGGGAGGCTGAGCTGCTCCTGACCTAACACAGGCTCACCTGCAGAGTCCCTTCCCAGTCAACTCGTCCCCCCAGGACTGCTCCTTCTTTCTTAAGCATCCCTCGAGCTCCCTTTGCATGGTTCTCATCAGACTACACTAACATGCCTCCCTGCTCCTCTTTAAAAAGTCCCCCAATCCACAGTCCCACGTGTACTGCCTAAGCAACCAGGACAGAAGTTTCATTTAAAAACTAGGAGAGAGATTGAGGCTGTAGCTCAGTGGTCAAGAGTATGCTTACCACCATCATGCCCGGGCTCAATTCCCGACACCACCAAAATAAATAAATAGTCAAGTTTGACTGTTTTAGTTAATTATTATTACTGTAAATCATGGCAACCTTACCATATTTGGGCGCACATTTAAAGTACTGGACTTTTCCAACACTTCCGTTGTTTTTTCCTTCTGGTTCATCTAATTCGATGCCAGCCCACTGACCACTGGCAAATTCAGTTGTTCCACAAAATCGTAGGGTCCCAACCTAAAGAAAACCAAGTCTACATTATTTTTAATATTATGAATAACCACAAAGGCCCTGTTCTTGGTAATTTCATCATGGAAGTTTTTAAAAGCTCTCTCAAGGTAGACTTCAGAATAAGGAAAAGTACCAAAGGGAAAATGGGACATTAAGCAGGTGACAAGAACAAGTGCATCAGGAAAACAGAAGAATCCTAAATACATAGGCACCCACCAGTGATCTTCACACTATATTAAACTCTTTACCAACAGAGTTGAAAGGCAAAATTGGCAAATTCACACCTGGAGACTTTAATCCAACTCTCTCATCTCCTCAACACTTCAAGTAATCTAGTAAAGAGACCGAAAAATCTAAGCAGCTGTAAATTTTGACTTAACTGATACATGGAACATCACACCCCATTTGCATAGAATACAAATGTAAAATAATAGAAATTATAAAAAACATGTTCTCAGATCTTAGTTAAATTAGAAATCACTAACAGAAAAATATATGGAAATCTCAGTATTTGGGAATTTACTTCTAAATAACACGTGAGGAAGAAAAAAATCATTAAGAGAATTAGAAAATACTGTGAACAGGATGAATATAACGTCGAAGTCTGCAGGAGGCAGCAAAAGCATCATCTTAGTAAAGGTCTCAAGCTAGCGAGCTAAGCTTCCACCCGAAAACTATAAAGTGAAGAACCAAAGCCTGCAGAAGGAAAAAAGTGTTAGACAAAAAACTGAGCATGGAGAAAACCAATGAAACAAAAAACAAGTTCTTTGGAAGGATAAAAATTAATTTTTAAAAATCTTCTGGTTGGAAACCAAATTTAAAAAGAGAAAAAAGGCAAATCACCACCATGACGAATAAAAGAGGAATGTTATTACACAACCCTGGTCACTTAAAAAGAAAATAAGAAAATACTGAGAACTCTGACATGAATCCAACAAATGGGCTGAAAGGTTCAGTTCACTGAAAGGCCGTCAAAGCCATCAACGCTCGCACGGGAAATGACTTAGCAATGAAAAAACTAAAGCAGAAACCAGTGTGCAGGTCCCACAGCGTCCCTGGTGGTACCACCCAACACCTCGAGGAAAAGGGAACATCAGCTCCATGCAAACCCTCCTAGAACACCAAGTGCAAGGATCAATTCCCGGTTCATCTTATGAAGCCAATATTACTTTGATACAAAAACCAAAGATATTCTAAAACAGTAAACCAAGCAACCCTAATGAACACGAACATAAGACTCTCCACCTAGCCAGGCACAGTAAGGAGACTGAGACTCCACGGCCAGCCCCCTGGGCTACATGGTGAGACTCTGTCAAACAAAACAAAATAAAGCCAATCGAAGCAAACAGAAAGAGAATATGCACGATAACCAAGTGAAATTTATAGCAGGAACATAAAGCTCACTTAGGATTGAGGAATTAATCAAAGAACTCATCATACCAACAGAAGGGGAGGAAGGTCTGCTGTCTCACAGTGGGGGAAAGATTTGCTACCTCAAAAGATGCAGAAAAGCTTTTGGCAAAGTTGAGCATATTTTCATAGTAACTTTTCAAACCCATTTCCATTTAGGAGAGAAAAAAAAAATTACAACTCACTACCAGCATTCATTTAACTTTTGAGGCAAAAACAATTCTAACTGGTTTTCAATGTGAAAATAAAACATAAAAACTGTTTCTGGGATTATTTCTAAGCAAAACATGTCTCTAATCCTAATGTAACAAAATAAAGAACATGGTGTCAATAATTCAATAATCTTGCTCTTGGGGGGAGATTCAGGGGTTTTTGTTTGTTTTGTGAGACAGGGTATCACCATGTTGCTCGGCTGGCCTTGACCTCTGGGGCAGCCCTCTTGCCTCAGCCCTCTGAGCACAGGGATTACAGGAGTGAGTCACCCCACCTGGCCATATTTAATAATTTTGTATGGGTTAAGTTTCAAAGCACCCAAAATCACAAAGCAGAATCTCAGGTTCCACCCAAAATATCAGGTTTCTCTCTGCATCTTCTTGCCTTCATTGTTTGTGTCAGCAGCAAACTTTGCAGCCTCAGCTGGACGCACCCCCTGATGCTGGTGGTATGCTCCTGGGGAAATGTCTTCACTCAGACAGAGCTGTGACACTGTCAGAGGACATCGCTGCTCTGGCTCGAGCTGCTCTTCGGACATTCTTCCCACCGCTGTCAGACTGAATGCTGCACAGCTGATCATGGACTCAGGCTTGTCCCTCTGGGATGGGTGGCAGCAGGTCAGCACGGTCATGTTTAGAAGGTGAAGAAGGAATTTATCACATCAAATCCTGTGCCCTCTGTGCTCAGCTGGATGCAAGTGACCATCTGATCACCAGAATCCACTGCTCCCACGCGCTCTTTATAACTCACACGACACGTGGCTTCCTAGCTGTCTCTGCCTCTGCTGTTTTCTACTTCAGTCACAGCATCACTGTAGAATGCTGACAACACTGTCCCTGCCTTCCTGTCACACCGTCTCAGTGCCTTGAGTTCACTATAGAATCTTCGTCTGCTTTGCAATCCTTTCTTTCAGATCATTTGGCATCTGTTTCTGTTCAAATGAGCTGTTCCAACTGCATCAGTCCTGATGTAATTCTTTGAAAAGCATGGGAGATGTTAAAAGTATCTAAGACAGTCAAGGATACAGTGCACCCCTTGATCAGGAAGACACTGTATCTTTCACTGTCTTAGTAACTTTTATTTCTCCTTGCTGAGACAAAATATCTAAGATTCAAAGTTAAAGGAGGAAAGGTTTATTTGGCTTACAATTCATAGGGGTTTTACTTCATAGCTGGCTGGCTCCAAGGCAGAGTGGCATGACAGAAGGACATTAAAGAGGAGAAACAGTTCATGGCAGGCACAAGGCAGCAATCAGCAAGGTAAGTGGTTAGCAGTAGCAGCTTATTTCTATCCATTAATATTCTACCTAGGCTACCCATTCTTAGCACAGATAGTGCTCACACCAAGAACTATGCCAAACTGACCAGTGGACGAACTTAGTAATCACATTTCCTTAATCCCACCACTAGACACTCTAGATCCAGCCACCTCTGAAAAAGTCCCACTGCATAAGGCTTTGAGGGGACAGCTAGACACAAGCTATAACACTGGCCAAAGACTAATGCAGGACAATTTCACACCATCAGCAGAATCTTCCAAATTCATACTGGGTCCTGCGTGAACAAGCACAGTTCACACAAAACCAGATTGACTTTCACAAAACACATATGGCTGGTGACCAAACCGTTGGGAGGTACTGTTTTAGAGCTCACCACATGTTGAACGCAACAGTGATTTGCCAACTGCAATGTTTCTGTTTCCAGTAAACAGTTGAAAACTTATTAGTCAAATGTAGGCTTGATCTTATGCAATAAAATATGGGCATTTAACTGAACAGTTGATACAGAAAAGCTATTGACAAAATACAGGCCCTGAAGCAGTCACAATTTGCCTGAGATAAAGTATATGCAAAAGTGGCCTTGCCCATTAAAACATCTCCAGTTCAGGCAAAAAGACTTTTGATTGTCACTTTTGGTGTCTTGCCATTTATATATTCAGGAAAATCCTCTCAGACCAAATGTATTTGAAGCTTGGGCATTAGTTTCACTGGTAATTTTTGAAACTAATTCTTCAGTAAACAACAGTTCAAAATACTATAGTGGGCCAGTGACATCAATTTTTCTGCCAGTTGTACAGGAAAAGTCTACCTTTGATATGGTTTATAACATGAGATGACCATTTCAGAATACAACCTGAGACAGCTGATGTTGGGCTATTTCTGTCCGGTTCCAAGCTGGACACAGGCTTGACTGTATTGTCTTCCAAAGCACTATCTCAAAAATCATCACAATTGTCTATTTTAGAAAAACTGAATTCATCAAACAAATCTTCAGCTAACAACTGTTCAAGATGATATGATGATGTATGATTCTAATCATACATCAGAATGCTGTTTTCTAGCATTTGACATTTTCAGTGATCAAGAATTACTATAGTCTGTAAATGGAAATGTCACTTTACTGAAAACAGAAAGCTACAAATAGAACAGTGTCTTATTTGCAAAAAATAAGAAAAGCACAATATTTCATTTGGAAGAAAAGGTTAAGGTGTAATCTGGGGGTTATCTCAGGCTCACCACTGAAGCTACAAGCACCACAGGCAAGCATTCCTGAAGAAAAATGGAAACTGATTACAAAGACTCAGAAAACCAGGAGTAGGGCAACTTCCTCAACTTGATACAGGACATATGTACAAAATCCATAATTGGTGACTGTCACACATGATGAAAGATTGGGCACTTCACCCCCAAAACTGGGAGCAACACAAGGATGGTCACTCATTACTCCTATTTATTATTTTACTCAGGGCCCTCGGCAATAAAAATATGACATGAAAAGTAAATAAAATGCATAGGGATTGAAAAGAAAGAAAATAAACCAGGTGCAGTGGTGGATAATGATACTTCTGATTTCTGGGGAGGCTGAAACAAAAGGATTATGGGCTTGAAGACAGAATAGTCATTAAGACTCCATCTGGAAGAAGAAAGAAAACATGAAATATAATAAAATCTATTCACAGACATGATTACTTATATAAGATACCCAAAACTACAAAAGCCAAATGAACTAATAAATTTAGAAAGGTTAAAGGATACACAGTCAACATGCAAAAATCCACTATTTCCACATGCCAGAAATGAACAACAGAAAAATAAAATTTCGGCAACAACACCATTTATGATAGTCCCAAAAATCATGAAAAACTTAGATATAAATCTAGCACAGTGTGTGTAATATCTACATGCTTCACACTATACAACTATGATAAAATAAACCACAGGAAAAACCACATGAATAGAAAGACATATTGTGTTGTGAATTCAGAGAATATTTTTAGGTATCAATTCTACTCAACCTGACCAATAGATTTAATGGCACTCAATCCAAAAACCTCAGCCAGGTTTTTAAAAATCTACAAACTGCTGGGTGGGGCAATATATGTCTCACATGCCTACAATCCAGCACGTCGGAGGCAAAGGCAGGAGGATCACTGCAAGTTCAAGGCTAGCTTGCATTACAGAGAGACCATTTTCAAAAGAAAAAAACCCTGGCTGAGCATGGTAGCACACACATGTAATCCTAGCACTTGGGAGGCTGAAGCAGGGGAATTGTTGCAAGAAGTTCAAGGCCAGTCTGGGCTACATAGTGAGCTGAAGGCCAGCTTGAACTACGCAGTGAGACCCTAACTCAAAAACAAAACAAAATAATCTACAAATTCTCAAATATACATGACAGGGCAAAAAAAACTAGAACTGTCAGTTTTGGAAAATAAAGGTCTAACATTGTTTGATTTTAAGAGTTATTATAAGGTAAGAGCCATCGAAAGAGTGTTGAAGAAAGGCTAATCACTAGATCAACAGGGCAGAAATAACACCCACACATACACGGCCAAGTGATTTTTTAAAAAGGTACAAAGGAAATTCAATGAAAGAAGAAGAGTTTTCCATACACGGTGTTGGAACAAATAGGTAACCACAGGTTTGACAAAGAGCCTCAAAAGCAAATACAAAACTAAATGTAAGTCCTAAACTATAAAGTATCCAGAAGAAAACAGAGGAGTATTTCTTAGATATGACACTAAGCACACAATCCATAAAAGAAAAAAGTTGTTAAGTTGGAGTTCATCAAGGTTTAAAATATCTAGCCAGGGATAGTGGTGCGTGTGTGTAATCCCATTTCCAGAAGCTGAGCCAGGAGGATTCTAAGCCCAGCCTGGGAAACTAACACAGGCCTATATCAAAATTACAAAAATAAATAAATAAATAAAAGGTTCTTTGGATGGCACTCAAGACAATGACAAGACATTCAACGACAGACTGAGGCAATGAAGGCCAACCTTTTTGAGACCAAGAGCCCAAACTGCAACCCCAAACCCATCTACTTAGCACAAAGTGCCAACGCGGCCCTGCATGCACTGTTATTCAATGCTCAGCTGCTGGGGCAGTGCTGGGATGAGCTGGCTTAGGTGCCAACAGAGAGGGCCCTGCGTGCCCACTGTGATACACACGCACCACTGGACTGAGAGGGAGTACAGAGGAAAGACTGGCCATAAACTAAAACAAGTAAACCCAGATGATTAATGTGTGAGCATGTTTATTATGAAAGTTTTTACTTCTGTATAGTTAAATATCCAACATAAAACTGAATGTATTCTTACATTTATAAGAGAAGCTATGTATCCATACTTTCTTAGTATTTTAATTCCACAGACAGATGGAAAACAATTGTGATGTGAGCATACCATTTTGGGAGCTGGTGAAAGGCATTCTTCACCTAAGGGTTTGTGTCTTTTTCAATAGTTTGTATTTTTTTAAATAAATTAAATCTCTAAATTTCAGTGGTTTCTGAGAAATCTTATTATCTTCCCCGCAATCCACTCAAACATTGAAAAGAAACATTGAGAAGTGCAAGATCCAAACAGGAATCTCCTGTTCCAGTCTCTGTACTGAGCGCCCTGCTAACCTCACACTTAAGGGGAAAAAACCTCCAGGGAGGCTGAGCATAGATCAGTGGTAGAATACTTCTCAGGCATGTGTGAGAGGACATAGATTTGATTCCTGCACCATAAAAATATATAAATTTTCCCACAATGGGATGTTAAGAAAGTGAAGGAGGGAAGGGAAAGGAAGGAAGGAAGGAAGGAAGGAAGGAAGGAAGGAAGGAAGGAAGGAAATTGGCCTTAGTGAAGCCCACATAGAAACTCTAGAGAAAAGATGTCCAAAACATTTTTGGTGTTCTACAGAGTATAGAGTTCTCTTTCCCACTGTCTCTTTATGATCAGGTTACACAACATCAAAATCTCCCAGTTCTTGGGATCTCAAAGACAAACACCTGAGAACAAGCGTCTCTTTTGCTAGGAGGCTGGCAGAGGGAGAAGTGGCCCTGGCAGAGGGCTGGGAGGCTGCATGCACCGTCCTGGCTGCATCCTTCTAAGCTCAAGCCTCCAGGTCCACTCACCAGTTCTCCTCTGCTCCATTTTTTCTCTAGCAAATACTGATGTCTTTGCTGTCATGTTCGAACAGTTCATATTTTAAAACTGTACTTTATAGTAAACTTACGGCCACCTTTCATAATTTGATTTGAGTATATTTTAATCTGCATGCCTTTCTTCAGAGACTCCAAACTCCGTCTGTGCCCATGCACCCTGGGACACAGAATGCCCACCCTCTAGACAGGGCTTCGGGGATGGTGGTATTAGGGTACCTTCTGTCCTGCAATCACGACACGATCCCCCAACTTCAGGCCAAGAGATGAAAGTGTAGCCTTGTCAGTCACATGGTCGCAGTTTGGAAGCACGGCCTTGGAGAGACAGGAGAGCGGCACCGCATCGAGCAGCATCTGCTTGATTTCCTTGGCAGTGGCAGCGGCATCGGCCATTTCCAGCGGCATATCCACTGGGTCGGGAACCACGTCAGCAGGGACCTGGCCCCTGTCGTTCTACAAACAGAGGCCAAAGACATTTCTCAGCTCTTACTGACTTGGCGTGCTGAACGGTCACGTAAAATTATTGTTGGAAAAAAATTAAGTATATTCATCAGTTCTTTATGGAAGAACACATGCTCTACAATTACTACGTGACAGACACTTTTCTGGATGCTAACAGTGAGCAAACCAAAAGGCTCTGCCCCTGAAAAGCAAACATTCTGGTGGAGAGGAGAGCTGCAGGCAAGTAAGCAACACTGTGGTTACTAAACTGCAGGAAGCAGCACGGAGGAAACGCGGCAGAGGAGGATAAAGAACAGGCCACAGAGGGTCACAGGGGAGCTGCACAGAGGCACTCAGGGCAGTGAAGGCCGCCTGTGAAAATGCTGTACGCACAGCCCCAAAGGAGCTGAGGCAGGGACCCTGCAGGCTCCCGCGAGGGAGACACAGTCTATTCCCTGGGCAGGCACAGTACAGCGCCTGTGGGTGATGGCCACGCCGTGCTGTACGGATACAGAGAAGACAAACGCGGAAGCCTGAGCCAGGACTGACCTGCTCCCCTCTCCCAGGCAGAACTGCAGCCCCGCACCACTTAATCACATTTCTGCCAACAAGGGAGCTCACGCACGACCTTCCACCGACAGTGAGACTGCATCATCTAGTGACATCACAGCTGTCTCTGTTCATGCAGGAACACAGTAAGGACCAGTCTAACAATGCACTTCCCAGAACGCGCCCCCATCGTTAAGGGCCACCACAGGAGTATAAGCCACCGTGTCACAGTTGCCACTTAAGCCTCCTGTCCCCTCCTGCAGCAGTTCAGACTGCAGAGACAGAAACCACACTTTCTCCTGAAACCGGGGCTGCCATCAAGGAAACAGTCCTGTCCTCACCACAGAGACAGACCATGTCCTGAGATCTGTCCTGTGATCTGATAATGTAACCTGCTGCAGCTTACTTCATTAACACGGTATTTATATAATTATAGGGCCATCATTAAAGTTGTCTCACTTAGTTCCCACATCAAGAAACAACTTGTGGACAAAACAGAATACATGTTCCTTAGGAGTTCACACTACAGTAGCAGAGACCAAAACAAAGGTTTCTAAACTTCCAATATGGCTAGTCAGAATATCTGGCTTAGACAGATTAATGACTCCCTGGAGTCATTTCCATGATTTCCAGCAGCAGTGATATTTCAAGCCATTCCCTATACCCTAAGCTAAACTCTCCATGCTTTTAGCCTTTCCATGCTCAGTGCTGTTATTACAACTTCTCTATGTTCTCTAATCAAAAACTTTACAGTCTGTGAGAAAGAATCCAGGTTTTAATTATTTTTTAATATAACAAGTCAATTGTTAACTGAGAAAGTTTTTTTCTTTTTGTCTCCATGGCTTCTCTTTTGCTGTCCCACTAGTAAATTTTCAAATGATCCGTTCAGATAAAAGGAGGAGGATTTTAAATACAATTAGCTTGCAAATGCCCTATATACATTTAAAAATTGAAGTTGGTTTGTTCCTAAGTAAAGTATATAGAGGGAATACATGCCACCAGATTCTTAGAACAGTGACGGGCTACTGTCATCAGATTTCAAAGAAAAACACAAAACATAATGAATATATGTATTGTTGTAACTACACTCTCTAAAAAAGAGGGATGGGTGTGTGTGCGCACTGATAAACAGGGAAACTATATTTTATGGATATTTTAAATTTAGACTTTTATTGTATCCTCAGCTTTAAGAGCCAATCACACACGTTTGTTAATTTGTATCAACTGTAGCAATTCAAGCTTCTATTAAGAAAATGAATAGTAATAATAATAAAAGAACAATGATATTGTTCTAACAGAAGTCTCATTCATACCTAGTTATGGAATTCCTTTCTTTCTTTCTTTCTTTCCTTTCCTCTTCCTTCGTTTCTTCCTTTTTTGTGGTACTAAGGACTGAACCCATGGCCTTCACACTAAGCTGTATTCCTAGCACATGCGTGCATACGGGCTCTCGCTAACTTGCTAAGTTGCCCAGGCAGGGGCTCAAATTGGGCTCCTTTTGTCTTAGCCCCCCAGGACACTAGGATTATAGGTGTGTACCACCCGGACTGGCTGGGGTTCTGCTTTCTTCCAACAATAGTGACTACCAAGATCTGGCCCAAGAACAACTGTTGACTCACGTTGTGACTGTGTTCTCAAAGGTTTACTCCTTTTTTATTTTTTACTTATTTTGTTTGTTTTTTGAGATACGGTCTTAATATGTAGGCCAGGATGGTCTTGAACTCACAGTGATCCTCCTGACTGAGCAGGAGGATCCTTTTTTCCTTATTTTTTTTTAATCTTTTTTTTTATCAGTATCAGGGATCGAACTCACAACCACCTGCTTGCAAGGCAGGCATATGCCATGAGCTAAATCCCCAGCCCCAGGAGGATCCATTTTTAAAAGTGTATTTGAACTTTGCATACAGCTGTCATTCTTTAGATAAATTTTCTAAAGAATTTAAAGTATGACTTAATAGAAAATCATCACTTTAATATGTATGTTTTTATTTAACAGCTAACTTTTCATTAATATATCAAAAGCCTAAGTGAAAAATACTCAAAGATCATGAGACTTTAAAGAGGACTCTACTTTCCAGAATGAGAGCTTTGTAGAACTTAATGTAAGAGGACTGAAAGTTACTGTGAGACCTTACATTTAAAGGACAGAATGTCAACATACTCTTCACATACCTAAAGATACTTGCTCACACAGGGTTATGCTATTAATAAAAACACCCAGATTCAACTCGACTTGGAGACAATACCAAGCTTTTTAAATTCCTTTACTTCAGCCTCTTACCCGAAATGCAGGGTTTGCTCCGTGCTCCAGTAAGCATTTTACGGCACCTGCACACAAGTTATATGCTGCAATGTGCAGAGCTGTTCCAAAATTAAAGTCACTGCAAGTGGCATCCACATCTGCAATTAAACATGAGAAGTATATTAACTAAGATTTTAAATTTAACCATAATTTAAAAGGACACAGGAGATTTGTTTGTGGGGGGGAAATGCTTTTATAAGACTTAAGCCAGCCCACCAGAAACTAGTTCACAATGAAACAAAATTTTTGTATTCCAATCTGGCCTAAATAATTTGTTGCTTATTTTCCTAGTACAATAAAACTCATTAAAGAATGAAGTCATACTGTCATAAGTTTTCGGGCTATCATGAATTAAACCATATTAAAAGCAATGAATGCACCAACTCCTATCTGTAAAAGACTTCCTATATGCTCAGGGAATCTTTTGCATATTTGCCACGACACCCACAGTGAGGTGCAGGGCTTAGGTCAGGGATCAGCAAACTAGGATCTCTGGGCCAAACCCACCTACCATCTGTTTACGTAAGGCTTTCGAGGAACGCGGGCACACTCACTCACTAATACTCTCTACGGCTGCTAGCATGCTACAACTGTGGAACACAGTGGTCGGGACAGAGGCCAATGTAGCCTGAAAAGTATAAAATATTTATTTACTATCTGACCCTTTCCAGAAAAAGACTGCTAAATTCCCTACCAGGAAAAGCAATGTCAAATTCCCAAAACAATTACAGATCAAATGTTTACATACATATTGATTAATAATACTTTACTCGACAAATGAATAACTTCATGCTAAGAAGCAAGGAATCAGGGGCTGGGGACTTAGCTCAGCGGCATAAGCACCTGCCTTGCAAGCAGGCGGTCGTGAGTTCAATCCCTGGTACCAATAAAAAGTTAAAAACGTTTAAAAAAAAAAAAAAAAGAAGCAAGGAATCTTACAAGTCTAAGGACATTCTAAGGTTTCTAATCCCCAGTTTTGGGAATTCCATTTTGAATTTTTCTATAACAAGAATATAATATACTTCTTTTCCTGGATATCTGACTTTAATCTACAACCAACTCTGTGTGTTCTGTCACCACTGTAAGCAGCCAGCCAGGCTCAGAACAAATTCGCTTGAATTAACAGAGATATGCTACCATCAATAGAGGTTTTCTTCTCAACACCACTCAGAAATTAAAAGGCAGCATTTTAAAGAGGAAATGGATAATTATATAAATCAGGGCTTAGAAAACAGCATTCTGGGAAATTTACTGAATCTCTAAAACATGTCTTTTACTGTTTAATTTTTTTTAACTTAAAGGAATGTTCTCTTTGCTTGCTCTTGGTTTTTGTTTTGTTTTGTTTTGTGTTTTGTTTTTTCTCAGAAGAAAACTGACATCTAGTAGAAGACAAAAGTCAAAATAACAGGTCAGGGATTTAGACATTCTGGTTTTCAATTTGAAAATCACCTTTAAGACAAAGAGAAAGGAGATCTCCAGAAATTTTATCTTTAAAGTTGAATCACAGGAATTCAGAAGTGAATGCCATTTAAAAGAAATATCCTTTATTATTTCGATGCCTATTTCTGAAATCTTTATTGTTCCATTCCTGTTTACCCAAGCAAGTCAAAAGAATTATACAGCAGATAGAATCAACTACACATAAAATCTATATTATACTAGAGATTCGCTGAGATAGGAAAACCCAAGAACACTTACTTTGTTTTATATCAATTTGTAATAAGCTTTTCATAAAAGAATACCAATTAATCTTCAATAATGAAATTCTAAACCCTGTCAGGAATAAAATGGGCAGGAAGGTTCACAAAACAAGATGTATTAATAAAGAAAAATCTCCTTAAACTAATGCTTGTATCTACAGTGGCCTGACAGTACTTGCCTTTTGGTTTTGATGTCTTCAAAATTACTCTTATAACTTCTGGGACATCAAAATAGGCAGCATAATGTAAAGCATTCATGTTTGTCCAGCGACTCCGCAAACTGACGTCTGCTCCGAGATCAATAAGCTGAGCTGCAAATTTCACGGCTGTCTCAACATCACCTGAAGACAATTTTCTAAATTATTCATCTTTAGTACAAATTTCAAGTACCAATGAATGATTATCTACTATTTCATTTTAAAAAGCTAAAGCAAATAGCAGACAGAATATACATTTATACCTCAAAAACGTCACTTTCAGGAACTTATTCTAAGGAAATAATCATACTCAGGGATATGAAGAAACACTGTTCTGTGACGATGCTCTTAACTGTTTATTAGGAATAAAATTCTGAAGCCTAAAAATACAATAAAAACTGGTTACACTGAAATATCCACAGTTTGGAACACGGTACCACAGCCATTAAAAACAAAGTGCTAGGTCAGTGCTCTTTCAAGTTCTGTGGACTTTGTCAGTCCCCAACTCCAATCTGTCCATACTTTTTGTAACCTCTTTTTCCCTTATTTAATATTTCTTCCAATCAAGTAAAATGTAACTTTACACCTTTTAAAAAACATTTGGCTAATATTTTTCTTAATTTCATCTTTGTATTATAAATTCATTTTATTTTACAAAAGCCTCAGTCCGTGATGGATTGTAGTGGGGAGAAAGAAGTCCTTCAGCAGCAGTAAGAGTCCGTGAATCTCTGTATCAGATTATTGAAACAGGAAGAGATGATCACATAATACATTTAAGTGAGGCAGGTTTAGAAAATGGTAAAGCACACGATAACTCCAGTTTTAGAAAATACAGACATATGTATTACAACATTCAGCTCAGCATAAAGCCTGGAGTCTGTGAGGATTACATCATTAGATTGACCTTGTTGTAAACCCTCAAGAAGATGCTAGGGCAGTGATGGTGACCCTTTTCGTGTTTTTTACATTAACAAACAACTGCCTGCAGTACACGTGCCAGAGTTCACCATGACTGTTCTAGGACATTATCCGTTCCTTCACCCAGTGAAGTATTGAACAAGCAGTTGAAAGGTGAGAGGAATCAACAGGGTACAAAAACCTCCATGAGAAAAGGGAACGAGGTCCCAAAGGACCAACTACTCCAGCTACATTGTCAGCTAAGTGCTCTCCAGAGTTTCTGATACCCTGAGATTATTTAAGCATAAATGCAAGTGATCCAAGCAAGCAAGAGGATGCCACATACTTACCAATACCATGAGCTCCAGACTTGCAGGTGTAATGTAAAAGGGTCATATCTGTCAACCCATCTCGGTCGTTCACATTGCAGCCTCTTTTAAGGATCTAAGAGAACCAAGGAAAATATGATCTTGATAAAACTACTAAAGTCCCAGTTACTTTGAAACCACTGGAGAAGACCCAAGTTAGTCCGCCTTATCTGAATTATACCCACCACTATACCCAACAATTATGGAAACTCAACTTGTCACCAGACAGGTGGAAATTCTTATAGATTACTCCAAGGCAATCTGTTACTCCAAGTATGTCCTCTGAAAAGTGAATAGAAATCTCCCCAGTGGGAACAAGGACCTTTGAAAACAGTATAAGTGCTCTTCGCACAACATTGGTCAAGAAATTCTCCCTCAAAAATCAAATACTGTTTAAAAGTTGTATTTAAACCTAGATCTTTGTCTTTTTTTTTTTATCCGTACCAGGGGTCAAACTCGGGGACGCAACTTGCAAGGCAGGTGCTTATGCCACTGAGCTAAATCTCCAGTCCCCAAACCTAGACCTTTAGCAAACTACTCAGAAGTGTAGACAGAATCCGAAAAGAATTGAATTCCTTCAAGCTTAAAAGTTTGCAAAATTAGTATGTACAAGAAAAGGTGTAGTATATAAAAAAAAATACCCTTCCCTGCTCGCACCAAAAAAACTTGGAAATACAAAAAAAGTTGTGAATAGTTTCAATTTCATTACTACCTTTCATTCAGATGGAGGGAAGTATCTTGGACAACAGCAATCCTAATAATGCAATACTTAAAATGTAAGAATGTTTTTTTACCTCATTTCCAATAACGTCAATGTTTTGCTGGACCTGAGGAACCCACTGTCTTAAGATGGCAAATAATTCTGAGACTGAAGTTTTGGGATCAAAGAGAATTTCCTGGCACGATGCATCATTAGGATCAAAGAAAGAAAACTCTGTTTGAAACAAAAAATGTAAATTAACTTTATTAAAAATTTCAAACAAATATATTGAAAATAATAACACCAAGGTTCAAATAATAGCAATATTTTTAGATGCTAGAAAAAGCAGGTTTGCAGTGAGCGAATCTCAAAACCAACAGCAGGACCACTAAAAATGAGGTATATCTGGAATTACAGTAACGCATTTCCATTTATCCCGTTGCAATTTACTGTAGATGAAACCAAATGTGATTCACAGACCTCAAATCCCAAGTTTTCCAGGTAGTATTATCTTTAAGGCACAGAAAGTCTGTCAAATTTGTCAGTTTTTTTTCTCTCAAAACACATGGATGGAGTAGGGATTAGGGATGGGACATAAGAGGGATGAAAAAAGGAATTAAGATGTGTTATGTGCATTCACCCACTCCCACAGGAATATAATCCTTATATATCGCGATATACCATTAAAGAAAATGATCTGAAAAATAAAAACACAAAGGTAATGAATAATAAATTTCCATCTACAATTAAAACATAAATTTTAAATATATGCCAAATATTAAGTATAGTAGAATGATTTGCAATTTGAAATGTCCTTTGTATTGTCCTGTATTCCTCTTATTTTCTATAATAAGCAAGCATCACTTTTTACCCATTGACAACCCAGGAGACGAAATGCTACTTCAATCAAAAGGGAAGTCATATTTAGCAACGTGGAAACGAAACTTTGGGACAAGGATTTTGGAATCTGCATTCATAAAATCATGAAACACGTGGCCTACACAGGTCTTCAAATGACTTTACTGAGATTTAGAGAAAAGTCGGACATGGCCCTATAAGTAGAGAATACAAGAGAATGGCTCATAAAGGAAATAAAAATTTCAGGAGGACAAAATTAGATTCCGAAATGAGGCATTAAACAGCTAATCATCATCTCAAGGTATTTTTCTTGTTGAGAAACTGTCTCAGTCAAAAATGGTAGACTATAAAAAGCAGAAAGCAGTATCTAAGAAAGAGAATAACATTTGCTGAGCACAAACCATTTGACAAACACCTACCAAATTCCCCCAGACATCTCACCTGCTAGGTATTATTATCATTATTTTGCTTTAGAGGAAATAAAACCTCATATTAAATGACACTGGCTCAAAGTCACCCTGCCAGTAAACAGTAAATCTGGGAAGGAAACTGGATCTGTCTGTAAAGTTTCTTCCAGCTTACATTTCCTCCTTCCCTGGGACAACTGTCAGGTTCAGACTGGAGCTGCATACACCCAGTGTAATCTGGGATTTCTCTTAAATTTTCTTCTTTATACTTCTATATATTTTCTAAAATCATGCTAATTACACAGAATTCTTACTTTTTTAAAGAGAAGATAATTAAAAGATGAAGAAAAGAGGCACAAAATCTTTAAAAGTAGAAAAGCCGGTCATTAGACGAGAATCAGTTCTCAGAATTTGTTGAGTGAATTTTGCTGAAGATTGTCAGCTGGGCCACCCTGTCCTGTTCAACATGGGAAGAAGGGAAACACGACCCCTGTGTTTCAGAACAACTGCTGAAAATGGAGCCTCTCACAGTTAAAATCTCTTAGAAAATCTAATCAAAGATGGGCTATCTGGTGCAAAATTCACCTGGACCAGGATCTTGTGGCCTTTTTGGGAAAATGTGTGACCCTTACAAAGGATACATTAGAATTACAATGACTACTTTGGGAAACTGTTAACTTAGATAACACAGTTCACCTTAGTTAGCGATGCCCTTGAAAAGAAAGGATCCTGAACTTCCCAAAGACAGTAGAATGTATCTGATGACTTTAACCAGAAGCTTCTAATAACAAAATGACTCGAAAATAGTATCTATAAAATATGCTTACAATATTGCAAATGAAAATTCCTTGGTAGAAAGTTCCAGCCATCTAGGTAGGTAATAATGACTTATTCCATCTACCTGAAGAACAATGTGAATCCACATTCTTTTATAAACTAGGAAGCTCCATATTATTATATCTGACACATTGCTAGAATCTTGAAGCAAAAAATGTGTGTATGTTTATGCATGTTAAATAGACACAAGTAAAAGCAAGTACTTATGTAAATTGTTTCTTGAACTCCCAGAAAAATAGAAACTAACCCAAATGCTTTTCAGAATCACATTACTTTGGGAAATAAAAACACTATTGGTTTACTACAAAAAAAAAAAAAAAGAAAAAAGAAATACCAGCAATTTTCAGCGTTAAATACAATACAGATACACAAATTTCTTTCTGCCTAGGTTTACAGCAGGCCCGCCCTGTGAACCAGTGCCATGCACAGGCAGCCGCCACCAGCAAGGACAGCCAACCCCCAACCCCCAGCCCCTTCCGGTGCCTGGGCTGGCAAACAAGAAGAGTCATCCACCATCCTACCCCTGTAAGTGACTGGCTGATCTGCAGAAACACGGGCTGCTGTGACCACAGCTATTATGGGTACTTGGTGTTTCACAGACTTTGCAGGAGTAGGGCCAGTGACGATCATCCACTCAGAGGCTAGAGGTCCACAGTGTGGCTTCTAGGGGGGTCTCCTTCTGAAGGTGGGAGCCATTGTTAATTTCCTGTTATCTTGTTTTGAAGTCCTGTATCATTTCCATTCTTTTGTTGGGTTGGGTTTTGTTCTGTTTTGTTTGATTGTGTGATATCCAATGTCATGAATAGCTATTTCAAAGATAGCAAGATACATTATAGTAGTCATTTGGGATTTACTATTGACTTGTTTTGAAGTTCTTTATTGCATTCATTGCTTTGTTTTTATTGGTTCTATTCTGTTCTGTTTGATTTTCGCTGCGTCTGAAGGTATCTGCAGCTATTTTGAAGACAACAAGAGGCATTATGATAACTATTACTCATTTTATATTGTTTTGAAGTCCTGTATCACTTACACTGGTTTTGATTAATTTTATTCTGTTTTATTTTCCTTGGTTTTATCCTCTTTAAAATTAAAAAAATAATTTAATTTAAAAAATTTAAAAATCAATGAATTCATTAAGTTCTAAATGATGCTAAACTAGAATCTGAGCTCCTCTGTTACAACAGCAAAATTTTCTTAGAGCATTGATTCTTCTTGATGGAGAAATATGAACTTTATTTACCTGCTACAAAAGAAAGATTCTGTCTTGTCAAGGTAATTTCCTGTGATTCATATGGGTTCTTCCAGATCTTTGATCAGTCAGCTTTCAATAAAAACAGCCAGGATTATTTGATGTTTTCTTGTAAGTTTCTGCATCTGCCTTTAAGATCTTTGTCACTTTGGTTAAATGAGTGCTTACAATGCTAATCAAGTGTTTTGAATCTTATCAATTTTCAAAAAAATCAAGAAAAAAAATGGCATTCAATTTAGAGAAGCACCTCAGTGTTTTGAAGAGAGACTCGGATATGTTTCTTATCAAAAGCAGTCACAGAATTTCCTTTTGGTCTAATTCATTCATCAAGCTAAAATTTAGTTATGGAGAATAAGTATTAGTAAACATTTCATATTTAGAAATTTCTAAACAGACTCTTTGCATACGTCCACAAGGAGTCATCTACAAAAAGGCTTATTTTAACACTGATTACACTATAGGAAAATTGGTAAACTGAAATCAGTCATCAGAGGAGCAGACAGCAATGCTTATTTACATTAAATAAATGAATTAAATATCTTAGTCATGTATTGATACAGGCCTCAACAACACACTGCTGAACAAACTGAGCTGCAGAATGATATATACATATCTGTTATTTACACAAAATAGTAAGTACACAAAACACTACTTCACATTTTTACAAACTCTCATATACGTAGTATAACAAAAATATCTGGAATATATGCATTTTAAAAAGTAGTTGCCTCAGAGAAGTAAAGGGTACTGTACAGAATGGAAAGTAGAGGAAATTTCAACTTTAAATTTTTATTTTTAAAAAGAGCTAAACATGAGAAAAATGTATTTATTCATTTCAACTGGTAGATATGTTTACGTGTTTGTTACCACTGTTTTTTACATTTCAATTTTTTTTTTCAATTTTAGGAAAGGAAATACATCAGGAGAAAAGATCCCATACAAAATAATAAAAATAATGTGTGATGCTTATTTAAAGAAAACTAAAGAGGAAATGAGGATTCTTAAAAGGGGCTCCTCCAGACTCTCCCTGGGTCAGAACAGGATCTCTAGATGCTTCCTGTGTTCATCTTTGAGAAGCCTCAGCACAAGGGAAAAAGAAGATACTGTTCAATAAATTCTAGTGAAGTGCTCGTTAGTACTGAAATTGCTTAACAACTGTGCTCAACATCTGGGCGTGGTGGCACACATCTGTAATCCCAGCACTCAGGAGGCAAAAGAAGGAGGATTGCTAGGAGTTCCAGGCCAGCCTGGGCTACACATGAGTTCAAGGTCAGCCTGAACTGCGTAGTGAAACCCTGCCTCGAAAAAAATAACTGTGCTTGAGTGAACTGACAGCTGTAGTTTGTCTATGTATGTTTCTATATGTGAATCTTAGACATATGTTCTACTAGGTTGCCTTATACGTCAGTAGACACTCGTGATGTTAGCTCAGATGCTTGTGGTTCACAAAGCTTAACAGCAGACTAATGTAAATCAGCTGATCAGAGGAAAGCTGTTTTAAAGATCAGTGATGCTTCCACCCAGCTGCTAGATAATCTACAGGACCCAGATAATGTCCAAAATCAGTTTTATAAATGCAACATTTACTACTGTCTGTGCGCAATAACTTACGAGTTTTTCCTTGGTCAAAGAAAACATGTAAGTCATTTTTAAATGTTAACTGTTACGATGAGTCTTCTGAAACAACTGAGGTAGCTAAGTTGGGACTCTTTGGACTTGGGAAGCTGAGAACACACCTCCTCCTTGTAGCTGAAAGAGCAGCTGCCTCTACCAAAATTTGTCCCATTTCTCCACTGATGAGTGAGTGGCTTCTCCACGTTGCCCAGGGTCTAACACCGCCATGCCCAACAGTCATGAAACAAATTGTTCTGATAAATGAAACTTAGTTATAAGTAAAAAGGTAAGCTCTCGGGGCCTAAAGCAATAAGGATTCCTGAGTACAATGCTCTTGGTTAAATTTATATCTACTGTCTTTGATTAAATAAGTATTTTTTGTTATTCTATCAATGTGATATATTTGGGTAATTTTTTTTTGTCTTTTTCATTTTTATCGGTACCAGGGATTGAACTCACAACCGCCTGCTTGCAAGGCAGGTGCTTATGCCGCTGAGCTAAATCCCCAGCCCCGTTTTTGGGTAATTGTAAAAGATAAAAAGGGTAAGCTTTGGGTAAAGATTGGGTAATAAGTAAAAGATAATAAATTACGTAAAAGTTTCTGTATGTCCTTTAATATCTTATAATTAGATAAAAACAGTTGACTACAAGTTGTTTATACTAAGAAAAAAATTTAAATTAGTTCAGAAATAATAGCAAAGCCTAACAGTTCTAACATAGTGACGTCACCATGATTGTTATGGTCCTTAGCTCAAACTGTCTCTACAAAACTTACGACTCCTATCTGTCAGTATTTGGCAGGGATTCAACTTGTAAGACAACCGTGATTGGTGAGAATTAACAGTTCCCTGGTCATACTATATTTCAAGGTGCTTTTTTTAAGAATTAAATTTAATGATACCATTTAAAAATACATATTGACCATATTCATTATAGGGAATTTGGTACCTCCTTTTTCCCCATACCCTCCCCTCCTTTTAACAAGCCTTCTTCCCCCGTCTACAAAACTTTGTTTCCATTTTATTCTTTTCTCATTTTTTCTTTTCCCTTCCTTCCTTTCCACCTCTCCCTCCCTAGTTCCCCTTTCCTTTCAAACAATTTCTTCCTATGTTACAACATGCATTATATATTTTGGTTCTTATTTACATTTTCAGTTTCTCACACCAGACAGACAATGCAGTACTCACACATGTCCAGTTTATTTTGTTTAAGACTATAGCCTCAAGGTCCAACTACTTAGCAAGAAATGTCTCATTTATCCTTATTTATGGCTAAATAGTACTCCATTGTGGCTTTTTGTTTGTTCTTGGTACCACAGATCAAACTCATGAATGCATGCTTGCAAGGCAGGTGCTTATGCCACTGAGCTAAATCCCCAGCCCCTTCCATTGTGTTTTTTAAAAAAAATTTATACCATTCATCAGTTGATGGGCATGTGGGTTGTTTCCAAAATTTAGCTATTACAAACTGTGCTGCTATAAACATGGGTGCACATCTATCACTGTGTAATGACTTTTTTTTTTAGTTTTTTTATTTTTTTATTTAAAGAAAGACAAAACAAAACAGAAAATGGGCAGAAATAGTACATACTTTCAAAGAAAAGAAATAGACAGTAATGAATCACCAAGTGATGTATACAGATTGTCCCCCTATAAATAGTTGTTCAAGGTACACAAGTGGAACATATAAATGGGATTTCAACCAGGGAGACTGCAAACAGTTCTGTTCAACTATCCAACAAAAACTAAGTATTATGGCTATCAATCTTATACACTTAGACATGTACGTGTTTATCCATATCTTCATTTATGTTGAGACCTAACACAGCATACTAGATTAAAATCCTTCTGAAAAAAGATTAGTAATATTGCTGGATTTCACATCATAACACTCCGGAATCAGCACTGGATACTGCAGTGCCCATTTCTTTCTTTCAAAGTTTTTGTTCATTTCATCATATGTCATCAGATCAGTGCTCATAAACTGTTTATAGGTTTTACGTAAGCATGAGTCTTAACATGTATTTCTATCCTTTCTCTGTTAGAGGGAGAAACATAAAGCAGGACAGAACTAAACTTTTTCCTATTGACATATGAAACTAAAAAGACATATAAATCTGCTGTATAAGGAGTTCTATCCTGGTCACTATGCTGTTTCTTGTTATCATCAACAGAATTGGCTATATCATTAGATAAAGTATAATTGAGCACATCAGTACATAACAGAATTAATAGAAATACAACTTTATAGATAGTATAGAGCTACAAAAATAGGTAGTAATCAAATCAGAATGGATATCGTGGTGAATCATTGTCATTTTCAGTATAGTTGTCTGTACTCCTCAACTCGTTACCATCAACCTTACAGGTTTTGAATAAAATCTGTCAATAATAAGCAGCAATCAAACAAGTCAGATTTAACTAAGATCAGTCATAATACAACAGTATAAGTCATACATGGATCCTGATTGAGTTAATAGGGAATTAAAGATGTCCACTGTGCTATGGACAGCCGTCTGTGCCCCTCAGATCCAGTGCTTGTATACAAACTAGGACAGAACGAGTTTCAACCAAGCAGAGTGGTGCAAGTAAATAGGGGTTTTAATTCCTGATACACTATTAGCTATATCTTCTGCTGGGTTTTTTTTTTTTTTTTTTGAGGACTATTCCTCCCCTTTACTCCCCCAGAATGAACTGTGTATTTTTAGGTCTCCCCAACATTCACGGTTTTGTACTGGGCGGTGGGGGGGGGGGGGCAACCTGCTATTTACCTAAGTGTTAGTGAACTTTCTCACTCCTAGGCTGGATTTCTAGTTATATTTCTTCATTTATTAAAGCCTGTCTGTTCAACCTATCCATACAGACTGGTCTAGTTACCCCTATTACTCTCTGGTTCCCTATCACATTGAGTTCCATTTTCTCATGTTTGATTTTGGTCCATATAACCTTCTTCAGGCTAATTATATTTCCTATAAAGAGCCTCTCAATGGACCCTGTCTCTTGATCCACTCTGCCTGCAATTCTCTCTTTTTTCCCTTTAAGTTAGTGTATCTAGGCTATCTATATTAGAAATTATATCCAACCTTCTCTGCCTCATTTCTGTTGAGCTCTTTTTCTGTCATTAGTTGTCAGTTTGTCTTCTTCACTTCGCTTTGTGCTCCATTCATTATGGCCCCTCTGCCACTGTTTCTGGAATCTTGGCATTTTTCTCTTTTAGAATGTCCTACAGTATTCTCTGTAGAGTTGAATTGGTGGTTGCAAATTCCCCTAGTTCCTCTTTATCCTGGAAGCACCTTGTTTTTCCATCAATTTCTAGGGACAGTTGTGCAGGATATATCAATCTTGGCTGGAGGTTATTGTCTTTCAAAGCTTGAATTATTTCCCCCCATGCTCTTTGTGATTTGATGGTTTGTGCCAAGAAGTCTGCTGTAATTCTGATGGGTGTTCTCTTGTAAGTGATCTGTTTCTTGTCTCTGATGGCTTTTAATATTCTGTTCTTATATTGGATATCTGGAATTTTGATTATTATATGCCTGGGTGTAGCTCTGTTTGGGTTGTAGGTGACTGGGGTCCTGTATGCCTCATAGATATGAGTATTTTTTTTTGTCTTTTTCCTTTTTATCGGTACCAGGGATCGAACTCATGACTGCCTGCTTACAAGGCAGGCACGTATGCCGCTGAGCTAAATCCCCAGCCCCAGATATGAGTATTTTTACCTTTTCCATATTAGGGAAGTTCTCCTTGATTATGTCTGTGAACAGCCTTTGCAGTTCATTTGTTTGTGTCCCTACTTCTTCCTTTACATTCTTAATTCTTAAGTTATAGATCCTCTTATCATCTTCTAGTCTTTGTATTATTGCTGTTTGTTTCCTTGTTATTTTAAAGAAGTTTTTCCATTCATGCTCCCACTTTACGAATCTGTCCTCCAATTCAGATAATCTATGCTTAGTTTCTTTCAAGCTGTTATGCCAGCTTTCAACAGAGTTTTTAGTTTCCTAGTAATCTCTTTGAACCTGCTTCGTGTATTCTGTTTTCTCTATTTTCTCCATCAAACAATTCTTCCCTTTTTTTCTGTTCTTCCATTCCACCATCTGTTTTTTCTTGGCAGGTGCTTAGCATTTCTTTAACTATTCTACTTATATTTTGCTTTACTTGGTTAAATACTTCACTTTTGAACTTGTCTATGAGGCCCCGGAGATATTGCTTTAGGTCTATTGGTGCCGTGCCTGATATTGCATGTTTTCCGTCCTCATTCTCCTTTGCATTTACCTTTCCTGGATCAGTGTTCTCAGGATTGGGGACTGAGGACCCTTTCTTGTTGACTCCTCTTCTCATATTTTTTGTTCCTTCCATACAGGTGTATATAGGTGGCCCCATTTCTTTCTTTGTGGGTTACAGTTTGTTTGAATCACGCTGGCTCTGTAATGATGTTTTTAATGCTTTCAGATAATACCAAGAAGGGAATAGCCAGATCAAATGGGATCTTGAGTTTTAGTTTTTTGAGGAATTTCTATAGTGACTTCCAAAGTGGTTGTACAATGTCTACACTCGCACCAACTGTGGAGAAGGCTTCACTTTTTCCCACGTGTTACTGTTAGTGGTAGATAACAACTACTTTTTCTGTGATGAGATAAAATCTTAGTATTTTTAACATGCATTGCGCAAATGATCAGTGATGTTGAACATTTTTTCATATATTTATTTGCCATTTCTACCTCCTTATCTGAGAAGAGTGTATTCATCTCAGATGTCCATTTTTGAACTGGGTCTTTAAATTTGGGGTGGGGATCTGATAATTTTAGTTCTTTGTATATTCTAGATATTCACCTTTTCTCTGAGGAACAATCAGCAAAATTTCTACCTTGCCCTATGAGTTGTCTCTTCACTCTGTTGGTGCAAAAGGTTTTTAGTAAGATGAGATCCTAGTCACTGATTCTTTGTGCAATCAGGGCTTTCCTCAGGAAGGCTTTGCTATTTCAAGGTGCCTGATATCTAGGGAAGGTAATTAGAATAAATTTACTGCTCCCCTTGCAACACTGGTTTAACTAATCTCCTGAGCAGTCAACAATTGAAGTTTAGAGACCAAAGCTAAAACAGTAACTTGGCTAACAGGATAGGCAATATTTTGGCCCTGGCTCTCCAAGATCAACAAGGACCCAGATAGGAAGAGACCTATCCTAACTATAACTTTGGTAAGTCAACCAACATACTAAGGAAGGAGATTGTTAGACCCCAAAGAACAGGAATCAACCAAGGTACAGTATGGTAAAAAGAAGGGGTGCCAAAGAGAGAAAAATCTATGCTTGCACAGGGAGTTACACAGTCAAGCAAGACCATGACCCATCCCATGCACAGGAAGGCTCTTGATTTATGTGTTCACTTTGTATCCAGCTACACTGCTGAATTTGGTTATTAAACCTAGAAGTCTTTTGCTGGAGTTTTTGGGGCCTTCTATGTAGAGTATCATGATAATTTAATCCACAAATAATGATTATTTTTTTTCAAAAATAATAATTTAATTTTTTCTTCCTTTCCTATCTTTCTTTCTATTTTTGTCTCTTGTCTAATTGCTCTGGTTAATGTTTCCAGAACTGTGTTGAA